GCAGGATGAGAAGAGATTAGTTTGTTATGTTTGGAAAGGGGTAGAGAGAATGAAATGAAGAAGTGATCGGATGTGTGGAGCAGGTTTACAGTGAGGTTAGAAGTAGCGCAGTTCCTTGAGAATATGAGATCAAGGACATTGCCAGCTTTATGAGTTGGTGGGGACGGAGACAGTGAGAAAGCAAAGGCGGTTAACAGAGATGTTAGTTCGTCTATCTTCCCTGTCTGGAGGTTGAAGTCTCCGAGAAGTACAGCGGGAGGGCCAGTTTCTGGGATGTGTGAGAGGAGATGATCTAATTCCTCCAAGAAGTCCCCCAATACGCCTGGTGGACGGTAGAGAACAACAATGGTTAATTGTATAGGATGGGTTACTGTGACGGCATGGAATTCAAAGGTGGAAGGAGTGAAGTTAGGTAGCTTGAAGAGGGAAAAGCTCCATTTGGGAGAGAGCAGGAGACCAGTGCCACCTCCTCTGCCAGTGGGTCTGGGTGTATGGGAGAAGGAATATGCTGTGGAGAGAGCTGCTGGGGTGGATGTGTTGAATGGAGTAATCCAGGTCTCAGTGAGAGCAAGGAAATCCAGGGACTGCAGGGAAGCATAGCCAGAGATGAAGTCAGCCTTAGGAACAGCTGACTGGCAGTTCCACAGGCCACCTGAAACTAGATGTTGGATCTCAGTGGAGCATGTGGGATAGATGAGAGCAGGCCAGTTATAGCGATTAGGAGATACACGGGACCAGTGATAATTGCAAGAAGACACATGAACAGGAATGGAGAAAATACACATGATTATAGCCTGAGGGGCTAGAAAACTAAAGAAAAGAAAAATAAGACACCAGCAGTAATTAGCTGAATCAGAGTAGGATTTGCCTCCTCTTTGTCTCCCTCGTGACTCCAGCAGGACTCCAATGTCTTTGTCAGTCTTAGACTCCAGCAGGACTCCAATGTCTGACGCTAAAGCTGACGCTCCATGAAAGAGCTACCTATAATGGACGCCTGATTGCTGAGTTCTCACAGCTGTGGGGCCACGCCCCTCTAATTAGTTAACTCTCTACAGCTGATGGGCGACAGCAGACTGGCCCTGCCTATATTGTAATGCAGGCTTGAGTGCCCACTGCGACCTGTGTAACAGGTTCCCTTGAGCAGATCTGAGATTTAAAATCTCTCAAAAGCGCCGTTTTAGCTACAATAACTACAGAACAATTATACAGAGTAGAATAACAGCCCCTCTGCCGGTGTCTCCTAGATACAGTGGCAAGTGAGGAGGCAGAGGAAAGTGATGGACGTCTGTTTAACCACATGGGAGGCTCATTAGAGATGCACCTCCTCCCTGTCTGACTTCCTCAGCCCCATGAAGAGCCCACCTGGGAGGATATCTCTCCCTCTTGAACCCCCTCCCTTCTCCTTACCTGCCTCCCAGAGGCATCCTATACAGGAAGCAAAGTGTCAGGCCCCTGCTGCTGTGTCTCCGGTTCAGGATGAGTCCCTTGTTGAGTCCCAATCCACACGTCACTGGCAGCGGCGAAGACAGAAAGCACTCCCTCTATCATTATAGAAACAGCAGAAAACAACAGCATCCTCTCACTGTCTGTCAGCAGCCTGCCGCTCTACTCTGTCTTTATCCCGGAGCAAAGAAATATAGTGTGGAGGAAACTGACACAGAGGAAAACCAAAGGGCACCAAGGTCCCAAACCAACATAGTGTAACCTTATATGAGTTGGATTAGAGTCCAGAGTGTAGGGGAGAGGTATGAGGAACCACAGTAAGCTCTGCGTGGAGAAGTTATACATATTCTCCGGACACATCTGAAGAAGACAGTGGAAATCCAGAATTACTGAGCTTTGCAGCATCAAAGCACTGTCAAGTTCCACAAGAATTTGATTACGTCAAATGGAGTTAAGGAGCAGCACAATGACTTGCAGTTTCTAGACTTACAGCAGGAGGAAAAGCAGTCCTGGTATCATCTTCAACATATTTCATATTGCTTCCGAGGGTGGCTACCTGATCTCTGACCTGCTGCGTGACTTCCTCCCCCATGGATGGAAATGTTGTCTCGAGGCTGAAGTGGGTTTCAGGGTGTGCTTGTGACAGCATGGGGGAGATGTGCTATGTGGGAAGACGCCTGCTGTGGTTTTAGCCTCTTTCAGGGCTGCTGCTGGGGCAGGAACAGGAGGGTCCAGCCTGAGGTATGTTTGGGAGGCAACAGGATTTTCTCTTTCCTTTCTTCCTCCCTTTTTTTTCTATTTCCTGTTCCTAACCCTTTAGTCTTTAGGCTCACTGTTAGCAAAGTCTTGTTTTTGTTTTTGCTCATGTCAGAAAAAGAAAAATTAACTGTGACACTTTGTTTGATCTATTATTAGTTGCCATGGTGAGATATTCTTTATCTGCATTGTTTTGCTCACCGATGCGTTGTCACCTCGGTGACAAAATGCACAGAGCATAATGACTGTCCCCGGTGAGCTTTGGCTGATTTGCCGGTGGTTTGAAGATGTAGGCTACTGTTTCATCTCTGCTACATTCTGAATATACTGTAAATTTCAGCGCTGGAGCATGACTTGCACTGTTCGTATGCAAGGAAATCTTAAATTAATAGTTTGACTTTTGCGAAATACGCTTGGTGTATGAGAATTTAGCTTTGGCTAAATATTAACAGTCACTTGAATGTTATCAGTCGAATAAATTGTGGCTTTTATTTGTCAGTGAGAACATAGTTTTGAGGTAGTCAGGCCCTTCTCTATTTTGAATCAGTAGGCCATAACTATCTATCGGCCAGATGGATCTACGCAACAATGTTCACAAACATTAGATAACGACCTCTAGTGGCTGTATATTATGGTGGGAGCAAAAAGGTAGTCAGGTGACATAGAACAAAGAGCAACTAAGTCCATAATAGAGGGTAGTTGAGTAGTAGTTATTTAAAGTTACATGCCTGAGTTAACTCACGAAAGCTGTCATAACTTGTGTGAAACATTTTAAGTGTCTAACTTAGTTAGGACATTAAACACACAAAAATAACTCTCCATATCCCCACTGTGCAATAATCATGATCTGTCTCTATGTAATATTTATCATATATATTTTATCATAATTCTATTTTATTCATTTATTTATTAATCCTGGTCATCTACATGACCATCCGAAGCTGTGTGCACTACTGGTCGAAACTGTCAGACCTTTTAATCTGTGTTTTAATATGTCTGTTTTTAAAGCACTCGCTGGAGCATGACTATAAATCTCGTTGTATTCTGTACAATGACAATAAAAGCTTTTGAATTTTGAAGGTAACATAACAAATGTGCTTATTTTAACCCAAACCGTGTGTTTCACTTCCTGTTAGTCCTTGTGTGTTAGTCCTGCTATTTAATATACTGACACATTAGATAACGGGTGAAGCTACAGCCAGTAGCTAGTTAGCTCAGTTTAGCAGGAAGACTTGAAGCAGCTAGCCTGGCTCTGTATAAAGATTTTATTAAAAAAAAGTCTAACTAAATGATAGAACAACTTCATGTTTTTACACTTTGTTTCCTGTACAAATTACACAGTCAAGATATTTGTTAATTTGCTGTTAAGCAGCTTCTGTTACTGTTGGACAAAGCTGCTTCCCCCCATATCCAGTCTTAATTAACTAAGCTATCATCATAGCTTCTTATTTAGCATAAATACAAGAGAATGATATTGTCATCTAACTCTCGGCAAGAAATCAAATAAGGGTCAAAATATCAAACTATTCTATTAAATTCAGTTGGTCTGTGGTTTCACTATAATGTGATGCAAAGTAATGTGTGACTCTGTCTAAAATGATATCACAGCAGCACATCTATTCTGCTCCAGCTGTAATCTAGGTTGTGTAAAATGTATGCCCTTGTTGTTATTAATCAGGCCAGATTTAAAAGAGCCTCCCACCCTGAGAGTGTACCCTGTCCTCCTCTTGTTGTCCCTCTGTTTCCCCACTCTGATGAAGGGCCACTCAACCAGCAGGGGCCGAACAAAATCCTGAAATCCTGTTTCAGTTCTTGCATGTTTTTTAGCAATACCTTACATATGTCTGTGACACATAATGTAAACACTATAGCTCCATGGATTTAACTCCATGGTCTCTGTTTGTTTTTATTGTACAGTTCACTTCTTAACCACAAACAGATTAGGGAATAAGGGAATAGATTAGGAGAGAGTAATAAGGAGGGCGGATACAGTTATGCTGTCCTGAGACTGATTACTGTAGTGGCACCGCTGTTACATAACAGCTGTCACCTCATCATAATCATCTCCTCATCGCATTAAGCAACTGAGTTGTATTATGTGGTGGGAATTAGTCTCTGGAGAACAATATTCTTATATAATGTCTGTTCTCGTGTTCTGCATTTTAGTTTATTCCCTGCTCTCTGCGTTGAGAAAACTTGGCGCTTCTTGGTCTGAAGTCTTTCTGTCAAGTCTGTTCAATGACTCAAGAAAATATAGTTGTCAGGTTGGGGACTATTTGTCTTTGTATTAATTAAACAGAAACATATTGTTCCTCCACTCTTCCTTTGGAGCGTGTTGGCCATAAAAAACATTTTGATCTCAAGACACCAACCTGGTTAGATAATATTTTCCTGCACTTCGAGGATGTAGTAAGGGGGGTCAGTTAATGTAGTTTCAGGCCTTTATAATGTCTAGAAGGTCTAGGTAGAATTGGGAATTATTACATTTTTTTTACTACAGGTTTGGAGCTATGAATTATAGGCATATTTAAAATATAGTATTTAACATTTGTTATTTTTCAAATCAATACTAAAACTCGGTAATCTGATCAGATGATATAATATATTATTTCCCCATGTATACCAACTTAAAAGGCATCATTTTCATTCATGATTAATTTAAAATTGTTTTATTTAGATTTTGCAGCTCGTTCAAAGTTGAAACACTTGAAATAATGACGTCAATCTGGATTGTTTTCACACGATAAAATGTTTCCAGTGTGACACGACTTTGCGGGTACAAAGCCTCTCTGGAGCTCAGTTTAACAGCCAGCATTCTTCATAACAGCCTCTGTAAATTGAGTGTGGCAACGACGTACATGCGTCGGTGTGAAACCCTCTCTGCTCAGCGTCGGTGTTGGAGAGCGCATCAGTCATACCGCATGGTGTAGGTGGATGACAGCAAACGGATAAATGCGATCTATATCGGGAAAGACCCGTCTGTCCGCGGCAGAAACCTGAACAGGTGGCTCCCTCAGAGCCTTGGCAGTAACGCGCCAAGGCGCAGAGACCCTCGACAGCTTGTCTCGCTAATCGCTTCTCGGACGAAAGCGCATTTACCCTCGTGCGCGTAAAACCAGGAGTCCTGCAGGTTTGGGTCAGTGGATGTGATCAGTCATCAGGATTGTACTCATCAGTGTTGATTCAGTCCTCTCCGTGAAGTTTTGGATAGTACGTCTTGTTTTTGAGCCTGGACTGACAGATTTAGATATACTATGACTCTTTCTTGGATTTTATTATCTCTCCTCTGAGTTTGGATTGCCAAGTAGTTGTAAAGGCTGACACTGAGAACACAACATGTTGCCAGAAATAAACAACAAGGTGAGCCACTTTGATATGAAAGCAAGTGGACTGGTCGATTGATAAAATAGGCTATTTTATTTGGATAAAGACTGTGGTTTGCTGGTTTGTATTCATTATCATTTGAAAGCTGTTTATAGTCAATCAGAGTGTCTCTATGAATTTATTTTAATTGCCTGGCTGGTCGGTATCAACCTCATACTTGTCTAAAGTTAACTTACATATTTCCTATATTTGCTTTTCCACGCAATAAGAATTTGTTTTGCCCAGATACAGGGCTTCATTCCAGACCAATTCCTTTTTGGGAAAAACCCTCCACAGGTATCATTTTACAATGGCAGAAAACAAATCTAAACCATTAGATTCGGTTTATCTTTTTGATCCATGCCGATAATTTGAAGTGATTGTCACTTTGGAATTATTTCTATTGGCCATTTGAATTCTTATTTTATTGTCCGCCCCCTTCTTCCTGACCCCATGCCAAGATGTGATGAAAAATCTGATCCATTTCTATTTCAGTCGTTGTTTAACCGCATTTGTTGTGCTGACATATTCCGCAGCCTATATGTGTTCTGGTGCATTTTTCACACCCTACATGGAAACTTGTACATGTTGCCCCTGCAGAATGAAACAGCCTGCGTGATTGAACATTGAAAAATGACTATGCATGTAGTCAGCTGATAGTGGGCACACATTTACTGTTTGTTGATGTTTACCTCAGTTGTTTTATTGCTTTGCTGACCAACTGACCCCAGATCTGCTCTCAGACTGTTAGCAGATTTAGACTTATACCTTTTGTCTCCTGTAGCAGAAAGGTGAATAATCTCAGCAGTTCAAGTTTAGCCATTCATCACGGCGTTATTTATTATAGGCACACATCTCAAGAGACTTGAGGACAGAGAGAGAAGGGGCGTGACTTCCAACGGTCTTATACCCTTTATATATACAGTCTATGCTTATACCCCAGGTAGTGACATCACAATCATGTGGTACAGCGCTAACCAATGAACACAGTTAGTAATCGCAGCTACTTACATAGACAATATGGTACACAGTAATACATGGAGTCATACACTATACAGGTCTGTATGTTATATCTCAACATAGACCCCTGCTGCGATGGTCATACTGTACCTCCAGCAAAGATAAACAGTCACCCAGAGTCAGCATTGCTCCTGACTTCTGTTTCTGTGTCTTCCCTTTCATCTATTTATGTCGGCACATTGAGAGGAAACGCACTCAATCATGTTTCCTTTATAAATGGATTGCATTTACTGAATGTCTACACAGGGAAGTTCATCTATTCTATTGTCATACAAAAAAATATATTAAATCTGAAATTGAAATTATGTCTTTCACCTTCTTAAAACTGAATTTTCGATGGAGATACTGAGATCGATAAATATGAATGCTCTGTTGTTTGGGATCTTAACCCTTGTGCCTTACTAGGGACATTTTTTGTTTTTTAATTGTACATTGTATTAATCATTTTGACTATGTTACTGCATTTGGCATACATTTTGACAACAATACGAGGGTTGTTTTGGGTGTTAAAATTCTTAAATATTCAGTAGTTACGATTAGTTTTAAAAATAGTTTTAAAAATGTTTCAGTGAGGATGAAAAATAATATTAATGTAAAATATTATTTCTGGCAGTTCAGACATTCTTTTAGGACATCAGAGCAACAAATAAGGGTGAAAAACACAGAAATGTGTGCACACGGCACCTGGGCACGAGCTATGGTGTCACTGGGTTTCTGGCTAATAGCTCATCAGCCAGGCTTACCACAGACTGTTTACAGGAGATTTTATAGAAGCCAACCTGACAGTGACCCACATGGAGCCTGAGAATAAAACAGGACAACAATGATGTGTCATACCTTTCATTGGCTGTATGTTGTTTGTCTTACTGAAAGATTATATCAACTTCAATATGAGCAGCAAGGCCTGTGCCTGTCTGCAGGATGTGTTTACTTTTTGTACAGTGAGCAGTGAAACTCAGAAGATCAGGAGTCAGATCAGTGGCTCATCCTTCTTTTCTAAACGATACAGCAGTGACAGCTGATGTTGCCTCTCAATCTGAGGTTAAGATCGTGATTTGGAAGCTATTTCTTATATAGCACCCATGGACCACATGCACCCCAGCCTCCCTCCCTCCCTTCCGCCTCTTTCACCGACTCCCTGGCAGAGAGTGTTTGTGTCCCCATATGGGGCTAAGCTTGATTCCCCCATATGGTGTCCCCTCCAACAGCTGATTATTGAGGCATGTGTAAGCTGACTTGGTGTCAGAGAGAATAGTGCAGACATTCACGTGGTACTCTTTTTTTCTTTTTTTCTATCCGGAACTCCGTTCTTTTATAACATTTGTGTCTCTTCCCTTTAACACGTTGAGGTGGGTTTGCAGTGAGCACAGGCACGTCTGCCAGACACATGGATATGCACATGTGCACAAACCAGCAGGTACACAGAGAATACCAGAGAGAGAGGGACGTTGATGCTGTGTTTTTGCTGAAGTTATCTATTTTAAGATCACAGTGTATTATTCTTTGCTTGCAATCTTGCACAGCTGCCCACAGGCTGTGTGTTTCTGAAGAGAAGGCAGAATCCACGCAGCATGAACTCAAGAAGCCTGAATATTTATATTATTAATCATAATAATATTTAGGACTGCTTTAATCGATCTCTGTTAGGGTATAGGAGTTCCTTTATCTCATATTGGAGATGGCATTCTTATGTAACAGCATCTGTTTTTTTCTCGTATTTAACTGCTCTCTTTCCTCCCACAGTCATCTCGACCGGAGGCTTTCCCTCACCCTCACAGACTCCCAGCAGAGGGAAACCGTCTTGGAACAAACCGACCTTGCTCACAGGTCAGGACGACCCCAACCACAATATGTATCACTACACTGTAAAATGTTTGGCTGTAAAATTACAGTAAATTACTGGCTACTAGTTGCATGGATTTCACAGTAATTGACTGTAAATATTTCACAGTAATTGACTGTGAATATTTCACAGTAATTGACTGTAAATATTTCACAGTAATTTACTGTAGATATTTTTAGAATAAATTAGAATAAAAGTACAACTAAATACTGTGACTTTACAGTTGCCATGCCCATGGAATTACTGAGATATAGCAGTACAGAGCTGTGGTATTATGGTACCTTGCTGTACATAAATTACAGTAATTACCTGTATTTTCACACTATTACTGTAGAAGTAATGCAACACAGTAGCCAGTAATTTACTGTAAATAAGTAAAATTGACAAATTGAGGCTTAAAAATATGAGATAATCCATCATTTTCAGTGTGGTTAGCTATGAATCTTCCAAAACTGTGCCACAGTACAGTAGGCCCACACAAACTGCAGAACACTGGTGCTTTGGGAACACTCACATGATTTAATTCCCATTTAAAATCAGGAGACTAAATACGAACATTGTGTGTGTGTGTGTGTGTGTGTGTGTGTGTGTGTGTGTGTGTGTGTGTGTGTGTGTGTGTGTGTGTGTGTGTGTGTGTGTGTGTGTGTGTGTGTGTGTGTGTGTGTGTGTGTGTGTGTGTGTGTGTGTGTGTGTGTGTGTGTGTGTGTGTGTGTGTGTGTGTGTGTGTGTGTGTGTGTGTGTGTGTGTGTGTGTGTGTGTGTGTGTGTGTGTGTGTGTGTGTGTGTCATACTTGCCAACACCATTGTTTGGTTTCCATGGTAGCGCGTCTCTTTAGCAGCGCGCGCAACTCAAAGTTTGAGAGGGTGAGGAAGATGAAAACTGAACAATAATCGACAACTCCACCCTCTGCTCACACTGACACCGCGCCCTTTGAGAATCAGATCTGACGACGCTGATTGGCTGAAATTATGTTTCGGCGGCATAGTATACAGATAGCAACAGTCAGCTTGTTGGCTGCTGCTGCTCTGGCTGAGGGCTCCTTTCTACCGCCCGGACGAGAGAGGGTAATGATAATGCTGCGGCCAGGCAGGAAACATGTGATTTATCAGTAACTTTAGACATCGTAAAACAATTTTAAACTAGATTTTATTGTAGATTATACATTTTACTGATACCAATAATAAAATATGTACCTTGTTCATTAAAAATACAAATAGGCTACAAATTTAATTTAATTTATTTATTTATTTATTTTTTAATGACAATTAAACATGTGGGAAGAGGGTGGGTGGCGCCCCTATGGGCCGGCCGCCACTGTTTAAGAGTGACGTTTGAGTGAACGAGGACATTCCAATTAATACCTGAGGACTCCTCTGTCCTCGCGTCACCTCCTCGTGTCCCTCGCTCGCATCTTACGGAGGCGGAGCTAAGATGCAAGGAAGGGACGCGAGTGAGGGAAAGGAGGAGTCGAGGAGGGGTATTGGGATGAGGCTTGTAATGATAGGAAAGGAAAGTTTCAAACTTCCTTTATAACCTCCTTTAGCTTATGAACCACTGGACCTCCCTAACCGAAAGGAGAGGAACAAATGCTGCCCCACAATGCCTTGCAGCCGCAGCATTTGACGTCACACAACAGTCGGGCCGTTCACGGAAACAATCGATTATGACGGAGAAATGATATCATGAAAGTTACGGTGCTTATTAAGCTTTTTAAAACGTATGTGGTAAGTTGCCAAAGTGCTTTGTTTTGAACGTTCATCAGTATTATAATCAAAAAGAGAAATATGAACGTTAGTTTTTACTGAAATGATCAAATAAAGTCAACATTTCACTGAGCTGTGTGGGGTTGTTCAACTTTTAAAAGATGTTTGAATGGTGATATACACAGTGATAGATGTTAAGGACTAACGTTTATAATAAATACATTTGTATTTATTTTAAGATATTTTCATAGTTCATCTACTGGGATCATTTTTTGTAATGTAGACCGGAGGGAGAGGGTGACGAGCATAAGTTTCACTTTCCTTTTTTATTTCAATTCCGACTTTGGTCATGAAGAATATGTTTCTCTGTTGTCCACGTTCATAAAGCATAAAGCAACAGCATCAGAGCACGGTGCAGAGTCTCTAGATGAGTTTACAGTAGTCCCTCGTTCTTATTAAACATCCATGTTGTAGTCCGCTGTATAGAAAACTGTAGTTTCCATAGTTTCCCCACAGCAGCAGACGCACAAAATGACGTCCGCTGGCGCATCATAATTCTCTAAAGCACCGCAGTCTCTTCTCCTAAATCCTTTTGAATTCTCCTATCCACTATCCCTTAACCCCGTGACGTTTCACTCAGAGGTCAAGGAATAGGAGATAGGGTTAGAACTTAGGAGCTGATTTTTAAACTATCCGAACGCAACCCAGGTGCACCTGGGCAGAGGCGGAGCCAGGGGCAGACCAGGGGTCCTTCTCACTTCGGTTAAATTGATTCCTTGCGTCCCTCACTTGCGTCGTTTCCCTGCGTCTAGTCCCTCCCACCAGGGAAGCATGGAGGGACGCAAGGAAACCACGAGAAGCAGGGAAATTAGTTCCTCACCCCCGCCTACACATTTACTGACACAAACATTTGTATCATCTGTTGTAGACCCAAATAAATAAAATAAAATAAGAACTAATTCTCAAAAAAGATAAACGCCATTTTTAAAATGTATAAACGAACAATAGTTTGATTAATATTGATTAGAGTGCACAAAAGAAATAAAATAATTGAGAGAAGAAAAAGAGATATGTTATCTATCAAAACCCAGTTAGATTAACATTCATTGGATTGCACACTTTGTTTGTTTGTGTGGATATGTAGAAAATTCACATTTTAAATAGCACTTAATGACTGACTGAATGGAAATGACAATAAATGAAAATGTAAAACGAAAAAAGCGATCATGAAAGTGTTTCCAAAAAATGAATAAAATGATTTTTGACCACTTTGTTGTTCAGATATATCACAGATTTGTAACTAAATGATACATGAATTGAAACAAAACACGGTATAAACTGAGGAGTGACTCCCGTGAGGTTCATGTATTTTCTTAACTCCACTGGGAAACTGCTCTCATGTCAAGAAGCATCAGATCAGTGCAAGCGCTGCATCGTCCAATCAGTGAGCGATACACAGTAAGGGGGCGGGGCGAGTGTCTGAGGATTTCATCGGAGGATGGTCTGATGGTTCCTCGGTTATCGCTCCTCCATTATCGCTCCTCGCTCCTCGATCCTCGGTCCTCCGGCAAAAATAAGGCCATTGGGACGCTACTCAAGATGGCGCAGACAAATCGACTTCCGGTGAGACCGAGACCGAGGAGCGAGGAAATGAAAAATAAGAGAAGTGAGAAGTGAGAAGGGCCCCAGGTGCACCTGGGCAGAGGCAGAGCCAGGGGCAGACCAGGTGCGCCTGCGCAGCAGGGAGACAGAAAATAAAACAAGGAGGGGAGCACGTAACACATGTCTATACAGACATCCACTCAAAGTCAACAAGTTTTCTGAAGGATGTGCTGACATGGGGGTTTAAATTGCCATGCCTCTTTTTGGCTTTCGAGCCCGTCTCAGGTTTAATGCCCAGGAAGCACCTGAAAACAATAAGCCAAGACAACCATTTCAATTTTACATATGATTTATATGTTGCATCGTTTATTTTAAGGCACATGCAGCGGTGCCGCTTTCAATTTAAGTAAAACCTGCACCAAAGAAATAAATTAGTATTTAAAGCCAAGCAAGAACGATAAAATCAAGAAAATCACTTAATTTGTTGTGTTATCACAGAGGATGGTCTGAATACAGTATTTTACTATGAAATAATACAGTAACATGTTGTGAAATCCTGGTAATCATTGATCCTGTACATTCACAGTAATTAACTGCCTGTATTGATTTCTCTGTGAAATTATTATATTGTGAACATCACAGGTAAAGACTGTAAAGTGGTAAAACAGTAATTTATTGTAAAATATTACAGCTACATATTGTGAAATCATGGTAATATTTTACAGTGTAGTCATCTTTCTTCAACACATCTTTCAAGTGTTGGAGTTATGTGAAATGGGCTTAAATTATTCTCGTGAACAATTTTAAAAACATAGCTTGAAAGATTTTTTTATCTCTAAAGATATTTGTATTGATATATTTTACTCTCATTGCTTGAATATACGAGCTCTTCACGAGAACAGATAGTATTTTGTAAAATACAGAAATTCAAACTATAAAAAAACAAATCCACAAAGATACAAAATAAATACCATTAGGGATAAAATGTTACAGTCAACAGTAAGCCATTTCTGAATTAAGTTAGAAAGTATAGAAATAAATCATATAAAATGTATTTAGGGTCACGATAAACATTCGTCACGATGACAAGGTTATATCCTTTTTCACCTAGAATTAAAACGCTTGGGTATGCATCATAAAGACGTATTATTTATTTTATTTATATTTATGACAGAGCTGCTCCTTAGAAACCGAATTCCGCACTCAAACATCCATGATGATGTTCTAACTCATTTATATGGACATGTATTAACTCCTTAAAAAAATCATGGATGTAATTTCACCCATCTGTCATCACATGTGGTTATGCCGAGTGACCCATCACAGATTTTCATTGATACAAGTGCAGTTTATTTAAGCAGCATGCCCCCCGCTGCCTGTGTTTACTTCCTTTGCCTGTTGTGGCAGGTGCTTGCACCTATATTTAGCCTTATCTCTATGCGTCATTACCAAGTTGGCAGATCGTGCAGAAGCTCTCAACACATGAGATGAAATATCAGATCTACTAAAAGGATGTGAAACCTTTTTTTATTTCCTGTCATGCTGTTAATAATTAATATGGAGGCATTATTATGTTACTTATACATCGCTGAAGGCTGCATGATATCCTGCAGTATGTAGGGGCAGCTTTTCTCCATGATATTCGAGTGGAGTCACAGCTCAGTAAGACATATAATCAATAATGCTCCCCTTAACATGGATACACGCCGGTGTGATATCTCATTTTTCCCAGAGAACTTTGGCATTGCACAGAGGTCTAATTTTGCCAGTCATTGGCAGGGCTTAGCTTTGCAAAGCTGTGACACATGTAATCGTGCTAGTAGAGCAAGCAGGATGGCAGCCAGTGAAAAGCAGGTTGCTGCTCTTTACCCCCCCCCCACGGAGCCACCACAGACAGACTTTGTCAGGACCCAGCCTCACAGGCTTTGTCCCCATTTCACTCTCAACCTGATCAGTAATTCCAGCCGCGGCCTACTGGAGGTCCTGGTCATCTGAGCCACAGCAAATAAAGAAGAGATATAGATCACTAGTGGAGAATACACAACTGACGAGGTGCAGCGACACAGAAACATGCTTGGGAAACATTTAACAACAAGCTTGTAGCTAAGTCTAAAAAGAATAATTATTTTAGATTTCACACTCAATGACCCACTCCCTGTACATGGTTCTTCTGTTGTGTATTTATGTGCTTTTCATTCTTCTGTAGTGTTGAAAGACACTGCTATTCCTACTTCTATCTCTTTGTTGATTTTCCTAATTATTCTGTTTATGCCAATTAGACTGCAATCTGCCTTCTTCCAAGTCACACTGATATTCACAATTCAATTCCTCTTGTTTACAGAAGTTTGGTTCTGGTGTAGGGACCCTGCCTCAGCTTGAGCCACCCGTGGTCCAAGTGGTGGTCAGCAATGCCAAAAACCAAAACCAGCAGTCGGACAGCATCCTGCCCCAAATTGCCAACAAGGGGGGCCAAAACAACTATCAGTCACACCCGGTGAGGCTCTCATACACCAGCAGCCTGTAAAACATCCACAGTTGCTAATATATCTCAAATTTGATAGATAGATATTGAAAACATGTTGAAGGTCACACTAGATCTTAATCTTGTTTTGCTCATAATTATAAATGGACTTCCTGTGTGTCTGTTGTACAGGATGAGAGGCAGAAGCCCGCTCAGCAGTTCAGCATGCGCTTTGGTGCAGCAATGGATAAAATGTCCGTCTCCCGCAACAGCAAGATTTTCAGCAACAAGCTGGAGAAAGAGAAGGCATTCGAGGGACAAAGGCTACCCATGTCCCCCATGGGTATGTTATTGCAGATACAAATAGTGTATCACAGAAATGTTATTCCATTCCATTTTAAATCTTTGGAGGGAGTTACATCACAAACATATAACTAAGTAACTATTTTTGATGCCTTTAAAAAAGCTGGCATTGAAGTCAACTGTTCACGAATGTCTGCTTTTGGCAGAGATGTGATCAATAACATAGTGACTCACCCCCTCGTCTTTCTTCCTGTTGCAGAGGCACTGAAGAACTTCAAGGACCGGATGACAGAGTTTGAGCAGGAGGAAATCATGGACTATGCAGAGATCTGGTTCCTTGGTGCCGGCTCTCAGAAGATCGAGGGTTCCCAAGGAACACAGCAGAACAGTGGATATGATGACGAGCATGGAAGCTACGTCAGGGTAAGATGGGTGGTCTGTCACAATCATATCATTGTTTTAATGTAGTGTGGTTAAGTGGTTACGAGTAGAGACTATTTAGAAAAGTCTTCCTTGTCACTGATGACAATTGCTTTTTTCAAACTATTGTTAAATGTAAAAATGTGATACATATACAAGGTTTGTGGTTGAAACTCAAGCCGGGCTGGCATACAAACGTTTGTCATGGAAACAGATACATCTTGGATTGAAAAAGTGAGGCTGTTTTGAGACTCCCAAGCCTTAGATGTAAACATTTCCTAGAGGCACTTAAATGCACCAACCAAGACTTTCTAAACAGTTGCTGAAGTCAGCTTTGACAGAGAGAAGGTGATGAAATGTGATTTTTTTCATGAATTGCCAGTAAGAGCTGAAACTCATACTGTAGCTACCAAAATAATTGAATCTAAACACGTGTGATTTTGTTTACAAAGTGTTCAGTCATAGGTTTAAACAGATAAACACCATAGTTCTATAAAAGTCAGCAGCTTGATGGACTAAAATTCTGCAGACACACAAAGTATTTTTAACTGCCTAAACTAAACTATACAAGACAAGATGCCTTCATGTGATCTTAATCCTGGAGCTGCAGACATAAACCCACAGCCAGTCTGTTGGTCTTCATTGTTTAATATTTGGCACAATAAACTGAACTGAGGTCATCATCTGGGATAAATCCCGTGACTGACAGACAGGTATGTGTTATGCGATATGTAATGAATGAGCTGTTTAGGGCTGAGTGACTGACCATTGTGTGTAGACTCTCATTGAGGCTCATCTCACTGTCACAGGCTTCAGCTGGCAGTCACAGTTACTGTAACACTGCACACACAGATCAGTGTGAGGAAGCATGATGTGCAGCCTAACTGTATTTGAGGAAATATGTTAACAAAACTATTAACAGTAGCTATCATGTACACATTTACCTGAATGTATTACATTTATATTTACTTTCAAAAAGCAACTTTCATCTGATTTGATAAATGTATTACTTCCGGACATATACATGAAAAACAATCTATTCTTTTTAATGTAAATCATTAAAAAAATCCTGTTGTTCACTATGAAGTGCCAAAAAACTCATGTTTTAAGTACACATGTTTTTATTTATTTTTTAATGGTGTACCTTAAAGATGATGATATATACCGAGGTTATAAGTCTCTTCAAATATTCACTGTGCTCTCCTTCTTGCTCCTCAAGGTGCTGCATGACCATATTGGCTACAGGTTTGAAGTGCTCGAAGTGATCGGGAAAGGCTCCTTTGGGCAGGTCCTCAAATGTCTCGACCACAAGAACAATGAGCTCGTAGCCATCAAGATGATACGCAATAAGAAAAGGTACACAGAAATATTTCACTTCTAGTTCACAACTCGCTACATTTGATTGAACCTTTCCTAGAAAGTATCTTCAATTTACTTATCCAGAATATTTTTATAAAATACCCCAATTATTACTCTTGTATTTAAATGACGCTATACCTCACTCTATAGATAAGTAATTTCACAAGTCACATTTAAGGAGTTGTTTTTTTTCATTCACTTGAGGTCTGACACTGTTGTGAGGTTTTCCCAAATGCCTGTCCCGTGCTCACTTTACATTTAACGAGTCTGCCAAATCACTGAGATCATGTTTTAGCATTATAGAAGTCGAAGTCTTACCTGTCCTCATTCCCCCAGGATCATGTAAAGGTCATGTAGGTTCGCCGCAGCAGCCGTCGGGTCCTACCGCCACTTTAATAATACAGAAAACAGATAGAGGGAGCAAACTCTGCCCTGCAATAGCCGATGTTATCTCTTCCGGGAGAGGAACAAAAAACCCTTTACATAAAGGAATGTTTAAGGATGTTAGGGTGTGGTGTGCTGGGATAAACCTCTGCAGAAGAGAAAAACATCAGCAGATATGTTCATTACATATATTCTAAAAAGATTCCAAGCATTCTCACCACTTTGGAATCTAGGATCTTGAATAAATGTATTTCTATTATGCTAATTTTCAGGTTTCATATTTGGTGTGCCTGCCTCTACTGTGACATGTCTCCATGCTTTAATGTTCAAAAAGCTATTTATTTTTGCTCATACTGCCTGTGCTGCAGCACCTCTTTTCACCCTCTGTCTGAAACCAGAGCCCAGTCTGCTCTGATTGGTTAGCAGGCCGGCTCTGTTGTGATTGGTCAACTGCTTTTACATGTCCCGGCCTTTAGTCTTTTATGTACAATGTGAGTTCTAGCCAATAGAAGTGCTATGCTGTGATGTCACTATGTCACGGAGGTAAACAAAGACTACAGTCGAGGCGTTTCAGGCAGGAGGGAGTGTGTGGGAGAGAAACTCCCTCTGGAAGGAACTTTGGGATGGTAGCCTTTGAAGACCATTTACATGCACAAAAACCTTTATAAAACACTACAGGAAAGGTACAATCCCAAAAAGCACAATACCCCTTTTTAATTATTCTGCCAGCTTAATTCTTGGAAATAAAATGTAAAGAAGAATCTCAATCACATACTTTTTAATTTCAGTTAACTAACAGCTTCTGTAAATGTGTCTGTAGGTTTCATCACCAAGCCCTGGTTGAGCTGAAGATCCTGGATGTGATAAAGAGGAAAGACAAAGACAACATGCACAACGTCATCCACATGAAGGAGTACTTTTACTTCCGAAATCACCTCTGCATCTCCTTTGAGCTTCTCGGGTTAGTACAATCATGAGTTATCACATTACTGAATAATTAATCTGTTGATCGAGTGTGTTCCGGGTAAGCCACCTTCCCGAGAACAACAACACGCTTAGATCACTGCAACGTGTTATCAAAGGCTCTAATGACTCGTCTCTTTTCCAGTAATACTATGTGACCGCAGGCAATCAGGAGTTAAGTGATCACCTGTGTACCTTAAGGTGCTGTTTACACGAGAACGCAAACGGTTGTATCCGCTACTTTTCTCTTTCGTATAGCCCGTTCGTTCACACTAGCCCGTAACGGAAACGCGGTAATGGTCCCCCAAACGATAACGGGTCCCAAGGTGGATAGATCTGCAAACGGAACGCTCTGGGGGGCAAACGGCTCCTTGTGTACGCCCTATACGATCATTTCCTAATAACGATGAAGCCATAGCCCCGCCTCTCCCCACCTCTGCTGCTCACTGTTGTAGCAGTAGCAGTAACTACACTGTAAAATGTTTGGCTGTAAAATTACAGTAAATTACTGGCTACTAGTTGCATGGATTTCACAGTAATTTACTGTAAATAGTTCACAGTAATTGACTGTAAATATTTCACAGTAATTTACTGTAGATATTTTACAGTAAATTAGAATAAAAGTACAACTAAATACTGTGACTTTACAGTTGACATGCCCATGGAATTACTGTGATATAGCAGTACAGAGCTGTGGTATTATGGTACCTTGCTGTACATAGATTACAGTAATTACCTGTATTTTCACACTATTACTGTAGAAGTAATGCAACACAGTAGCCAGTCATTTACTGTAAATATACAAATGTAAATAATACGATAATATATTGTAAATCTGACTAGTTAACTGGGATTTTACCATAACTACACAATTCAATCAGCTCAATCAACAAAGAAAAACAAAGAAAATGCCCATTTTAACTTTGTATTACTCCATTGAAGTGCAAAGTACATTTCACAGTGTCTTTGACATGTTGTTATGGCCCCAACCTCTACTCTGCGGTAGTTGCTCGTGCTGAGACCCGCAACATGACAGAATACACGCAATAACCGGTACTTGGTAACGAGCATTTATTGATAATCAGCCGTTTGCTCACACAAGCGAAACGGGAAACAAAAAGAGGTCTGGAGGACTGGCCAAAAGGAACAAACAGAAGGAGGGAACCCGAGCCAGCCACACCACGGACCGTAGGACCCAGAGCTCCCCCCCCTAACCAGAAATCAAATATAAACCCTATGGGAAACAAAATAACGCCGCGAAAACTGGACTACCAGGTCCTCCAGGCTAAACATAAACACATCTGCAAAAATATGGCCTACAGCTCAAAATGGCAAAGAGGTATTCTAAGGAGAGTGTCTCCCGGCGTTAGGATAGGCGAGACATCCTTCTCCTCCAGCTTCTCTTTATATATACACGGCTGAGTGGAATTTGGAACACCTGGGCAGAGGCGGAACCAGGGGAAGACCAGGTGCACCTGGGCAGAGGCGGAGCCAGGGGCAGACCAGGTGCACCTGCGCAGCAGGGAGACAGAAAAGAAAACAAGGAGGGTAGCACTTGTCTACACAGACATCCACTCAAAGTCAACTATTGTTCTGAAGAATGTGCTGACATGGGGGTTTAAATTGCCATTCCTCTTTTAGGCTTTCGAGCCCGTCTTGGGATTAATGCCCAGGAAGCACCTGAAAACAATAAGCCAAGACAACAATTTCAATTTGACATAGATTTATATGTTGCATCGTTTATTTTAAGGCACATGCAGCGGTGCCCCTTTCAATTTAAGTAAAACCTGCACCAAAAAAAGAAATTAGTATTTAAAGCCAAGCAAGAGCGATAAAAGCAAGAAAATCACTTAATTTGTTGTGTTATCACAGAGGATGGTCTGAATACAGTCTTTTACTGTGAAATAATACAGTAACATGTTGTGAAATCCTGGTAATCATTGATCCTGTACATTCACAATAATTAACTGTGCCTGTATTGATTTCACTGTGAAATTCAAAATTACAGTATTATATTTTGAACATTACAGGTATAGACTGTAAAGTGGTAAAACAGTCATTTATTGTAAAATATTACAGCTAAATATTGTGAAATCATGGTAATATTTTACAGTGTACTGTCAGTAGCTACTGCTACTGCTACTGACCATGCTACTGATGTTAGTCCAAAATCTACAGCTCGACCATGCTACAGACAAATCTACAGCTCCTCTACCACAACCATCAGCATGGACAGCAGTGGACATGGAGAATTACATGAATTACACGTTGCTAAATCCACTGCAGGGCATAAACAGAAGGGTAACCATGACAACCATGCTCGGGGGTCTTCTCCGCTGCTTTTGGTGTATTTTGTGGCGAAAGTACAGCGCCACTTACAGGCCCGGCATATATGTACTACAGCGTCTCCAGCGCTCCCGAGCGGTCTCGTGTGAACGGAAGACTTGTTTGATATCGTGTTCGTTTAAGTTTCGTATGCATTTGCGTTTGCGTTTGCATGTAAATGGGGTCCAAGCCTCCGGTGTTTTGGGAACTGATACCCATCTGAAGGGACATCGTTGTGTGTATCACTCAGGCTGAATGACCTTTAGAGGACGTCTTGGACCGCCACCTTGTCTAACATTACTGTCACAGAATCCTTTAGTTAAGGCCTTGATTAGGGCCCTATCTCTTACCCCCTGTTGCTTCATGGTGTGAAGGCTCCAGTTACACACTCTGAAGAAGTTTAGGCTTATTAGAAGTAGCAAAAGGTAGTAGGAGGACACATTCTGGGTCTCTGTCCATCCCTCTGAACGTGAGCACATTCATAGATTATTTGAGTATTCACTTGACAGTGGACGTTATATTAAGGGTGATGTAAAGTGTTGAGTGACTTCAGATTTAGCAGCCTTTTTTCTCATCATTTAGTTAAAAAACAGTTGTTAAAATTTGATTTAAAAAAAGGATGTGGATATGAGTCCTAAACCATGGAAATAAGTTAGAACTTTAGCATTTCTGGATTCTCTCGTTGTGAAGTTATTGGTTTTTGGTTAATTGCCTGAAATAAGAGCAGTGGTTAATACATGCTTTAACAAGGCTTAGTTGAATACTATGATTATTCGAGGGTGTTAATACTTGATAACACACCACTGCTAAGCAAAATAATGACCATTGCTAAGGAGGAGGAAGGAAAGCGCTAAGAAGACAGAGCGCGGATGTCAGAGAAATCAACAGAAGAAGGCAGACAGGAAATAAACACATAAGAACACACGGTATGGGCTCTGGCATTGTTTAAGGACTTGTTAGTGAGTATTATTTTCTTAGCAGAGGAAATATGATAGTTTTTAGGTGATCAAAATATAGTCAAGTTGTTGGTTTATTTAGTATGGGTCGTGTAATAAGTGGAATAATGTTCTCCGAGGCTTTCATTAATGAAAATAGAACACCCTTTGTGTTGGGCTCCATAATCAGCCAGTCAGGTGTTCTTTTTTTATTAATGACCACCACATTGCACATTATCCCTTACTGTGCAGATTTTCACATTTGGTTCTACAACATTAAGTACATCAGTACAGTACAAATGTGGTTGCTGAAAAGTGACTAAATGAGACTACTAAGCATCATCACGCTGAACAGGAGTCCGCCTATCGTGAAGGGAAACAAAACAAATGTTTGTGTTTTAACAGCACTGTAAGCTAACCATACATCCCATTATGTTTCTCTCCTCAGGGTGAACTTGTATGAGCTGATAAAAAAAAACAACTTCCAGGGCTTCAGTATCGCTCTGATCCGCCGCTTCACCCATGCTCTCCTGCGGTGCCTTCAGATGCTACACAGGGAGAAGATAATCCACTGCGACCTCAAACCGGTACTCCCACAGAGTTTCTGAACTTGTTTTTTTCATGTATAATTGAGACACAATTTAAAATATAGTCATCAGAACCTGACTTCTGAACGAAATCCCTGTACCGCTGTTGGCAATTGTACTGCAAAGAAATCCCCAAAAAATAAACTATGAATTTTGCTCCATCTTGTGGATGAGTATAATATTGCATCAGCATTACATAAAAGCAAATAGTTTTAACTTTATGTTTTGCTTCTGCTTGTGAACAGGAGAACATCCTCCTGTCTCAGAGAGGGCCAGGGAACATCAAGGTGGTGGACTTTGGATCAAGCTGTTACGAACAACAAAGAGGTAGGGGCATGAAACTCAACTGAGAGAATATTTAACAATATGTACCATGTCTGGATATGCTGAGAAATGCTACATTATGAGAACTTATATCCATCACAGTCTCTTCTGTCTCTTCCATTAGTGTACACATACATCCAGAGTCGCTTCTACCGCTCTCCAGAGGTCATCCTGGGTCACCCCTACAGCATGGCCATTGATATGTGGAGTCTGGGTTGCATCCTTGGTGAACTGTACACAGGCTATCCTCTCTTCCCAGGAGAGAGCGAAGTGGAGCAGATAGCCTGCATAATGGAGGTACGACGTGGAAAGAGTTGTTTGCCCATTTTAAATGTGTTTGTTTTGCTCACAAATGTAAATACAGAACAATTTTCCAATATGGTTGTTGATTTGCTCCAGGTTGTTAAGATGTCTAATATTGTGACTCACAGGTTCTTGGGATGCCTCCAAATGATTTTGTTCAGTCAGCATCGAGGAGGAGGTTGTTCTTCGGTGAGTATTTATCTCTATTTTTGTATCTTTTTGAATATGTCTTGTTTCCGTAGAGATAGGATTACTAATGTTCTCAAAAGTTAAATGAATTTCTAGGGTGGGAATTTCAAATCAAATCAAGTTTTATTTATACAGCACATTTATAAACGATTTTTGGTCAAGCCAAAGTGCAGTACATATAATAAAATTAGCCTACAGTAGAGACACTTTACAGCAAATACAACAGCAGAGATTGTTCAGAATATCAGTATGAGAAAAACGACACCCTCTATCCTTAGACCCTCACATCGTACAAGGAAAAACTTCCAGAGAAAACCCACAGTTTAAGGCAAGGCAAGTTTATTTATATAGCACTTTTCAACACAAGGCAATTCAAAGTGCTTTACAAAAAATTAAAGAGATTAAGAAAATGGTATTTAAAATCAGTCATAAGGGGAAAAAATGGGAGAAACCTCAGGGAGAGCAACAGAGGAGGGATCCCTCTCCCAGGATGGACAGACGTGCAATAGATGCCGTGTGTAAATCGAAGAGATAATACATTTTACAGCATATAGACCGAATGTTAGGAAATGCATGTGTCTGTAATAAGAAGATGAATCCACGAGGATGTCAACTACAATCCTGTGGAAGCCATCAGGGAAGCAGCATGACGAGACCCAAGGCAGGACCGCAGAGACAGGTTCAGCCACGACCCGAAGTCCACGACTTAATCCAGAACTCAGGATAGAGGATCCAAGACACAGGACTACAGCAAGAGGATCAGCCTCGACTCCGGTTCCCGGCGTAGACATAGATACAAAACAAGAAAAAAGATTTGGCTGGGTTAATCGGAACAAGAGAATACACAGACAGGGAAAAGGTCATTGGATAAAAGTTATTCTTGATAATCCTCTAGAAAGATCTCATGAACTTCCCCACTCAATCTATCAAGACCCGAACAGTTCTATTAGATATAGGATAAGAAATAGAGAGAGGGAGCACAACAACCTATCTCTTCGTCAGATGCACTCCCCCGCTTATCTAAGCGACTCTGTACCCCGTTACCCTCTACAAGGCCATAGACCAGCAGAGGGAAAATGGGGGGTGGATAAGGGTAAGGGTTTTTAAGAATAAACCGCAAGGGTCTAAAGGGGAAAAAGATGAAATATAAGGTACTATATTTTAAGTAATCCTATCTACTATTCAGAGGTTGCGCTAGACTTTTTCACTGCCCGTCATTTTGACGGACAGGATCGTAAAACTTCTGTCAAAATCCAGAATTACCCGTCGGCCTTTACACAACTCTGACGAGGGGGGGAAGCATGCTCGTGAACTGTCAACGGGGGGGGGGGGGGGGGGAGAGACAGTTCACATGCGCCGTGTTATGCATGGCTGCTGCACCTCGCGGGAGCGTGCACAGTGTCAAGCCAAAACTCACAGACATTTCAATGATTTGTACTGCACAGTTAGGTTTGGAAACGGTATGATTTCCTTTTTGGAGGGCATGCATAACACGGCATAACACCGGAGCCTCGCTGCGGGGAAACTTTAGCGCTGTTCCGAGTTTGTTCTAATCTGTCAAAATGACGGACTGCTTTCAGATTTGTCCGTCATTGTTAAAAAAAATCCGTCATAGACGGAAAATATTCGGTTAACGCGACCTCTGCTACTATTCCTATATTCGAATAATGTATAAACTATTTTAAAAATACTTTATGAAATCCTATATTATGTTATAAATATTAAAATAAAGAACTAAATGAATAAATAAATAACTAAATAAATAAATAAATGAATAAATAGATAATTAAACAAAAGCCAGAGAGAAAAAGTGAGTTTTAAGTGTTGATTTAAAAACCCCCAGGGTCTGGGCCGACCTCACATGGAGGGGCAAAGTATTCCAGAGCCTAGGGCCAGCCGCTGCAAAAGCTTGATGCCCTCGGGTTTTAAGCCTGGTCTTAGGCACTATCAACAGCAGCTGATCAGCCGACCTTAAGGCTCTGCCTGATGTGTAGCGATGGAGGAGTTCGGCTATATAGGCAGGAGCCAGCCCATTTAGGGCTTTAAAAACAAATAAAAGGAGTTTAAAATCTATTCTGAACCGAACTGGAAGCCAGTGCAACGAAGCCAGAATTGGGGTGATATGGTCGCGCTTTTTATGACCAGTGAGAAGACGTACAGCTGCATTCTGAACTAACTGGAGGCGTCTAATTGAGGCCTGGTCCATACCCACATACAGAGCATTGCAGTAATCCAGTCTCGAGCTAACAAAGGCGTTAATAACCCTTTCTAGGTATTTAAAAGATAAAAACGACTTGGTCTTAGCCAATAGTCTTATTTTGAAAAAGCAGGTCTTAACTACAGTGCTAACCTGCTTATCAAATTTAAAGGCGCTGTTGAAGGTCACTCCAAGGTTCATAACAGAGGGTAGGATATTTTTATTGAGGGAGCCCAGAATATCAACCGGGGAGACTGTTGGTTGGGGTCCAAAAAAGATGACCTCGGTCTTGCTCTCATTAAGGGTGAGGAAATGTTGGCTCAGCCAGGATTTAATCTCTATTAAACAGTCCTTCAACTGCTCTAGTGAGTTGGCATTTTGATTGAGAGGCAGATAAATGTATACATCATCAGCGTAACAATGGAAGGGGACATTATGTTTTATGAGAATTGAACCTAGGGGCAGTATATACAATAGAAAAAGGATGGGGCCCAAAATCGAGCCTTGGGGAACCCCACAGGTAAGAGGGGCTTTGGTAGAGGAGAAAGCACCTAACTGCACTGAGAAGCTACGGTCCGTCAAATAAGACCTGAACCATGCAAGGGCAGAGCCTGTAATGCCTGCGGACTGATCAAGCTGTGACAACAGGATACTATGATCCACAGTGTCAAAGGCAGCAGTTAAATCTAACAGCACCAAGACAGCTGGGCTGCCTGAGTCGGCGGCTAAGAGCAGATCATTAAAAACTCTTAAAAGGGCTGTTTCAGTACCTTTGCAGAAGGTGTGAGATAACTCTGTAGATGAAGAGATGATGAATCTGAACTGTGTTTGACAATTGTGATCAGACTCCAAAGGAAACCCCAGGAACATCACGAACAGCAAGGGGAAGAAGAGGAGGCCAAACTCCAAGGAGCTGTCCGCTGCGTTGAAAACGAACGATGTTTTGTTCTTGGACTTCATCAAACGCTGCCTCACGTATGTTCACATCTACTTTATTTTATCTGTAATGTGCTGTAAAGACACTGGATGTGACTTTTACATTAAGTTGGTACTTTATTAAAGATCAAATTGAAATTTGCACTTTAAACATTTAATTATTTGTCTGTGTGTTTCAGTTGGGACCCAACCAAACGCATGACTCCAGATGAGGGGCTACAGCATGAGTGGATCCTGGAGGGAAATTTCAACAGAGTCCGGCCAAGAACCAGGCCGACAGTGAAGAAGACCTCAGACAGTTCGACCAGCAAGCCTGGTAAGAGTACAGTCCACCTCATCGTCTTTATTAAGGAGCATTTTTAAGCAAAGTATACAAACAGCTATAATAAAGCAAAGTCCTACTGGTTCCAAAGTAGCAGACATATCAAGATAATTGGTTTAAATTAACCTGAGCCAGTAGGGTGTGTTAGCTCGGTCCAGAGGGATTGGCTTGGGAACCGAAAGGTCACCGGTTCGAGTCCTAGAATGACCCTGATACCAGGATGGGTCAAATGCAGATTCTTCTTCTTTTTTTTTTAATAATTTCCCAAATTTGGGAAGAATAAATAATCTATCTATCTATCTATCTATCTATCTTTAGCTACTATTTAATGTCCTTTGTTTCTTTCGACAGCGGAGAAGTTCAGCTCAGACAGCAGCACTATGGACAAGCTGAAGAGAGACGGTTCAGCAGCAAAGATGGCCACCGCCGAGCGTCTGCGGCCCATCGGAGCCTCAGCGGAGGAGGAGGTGTATGAAAATGGTGATGGCAATCGCTCCACAGATACCAAGAGTGGAGAGAGGCCCGTTCACATCGTCATCCAGCCTCAAGAGGAAGCGGGCACGGAGAGAAAAGATAGCCAGGAGTCGTCTCAGTGTTTGCCCCCCATCATGTAACAGGCAGAGGGAATCGTGCTAAGGTCGTGACAAGATGTTGTTTAGGCTCATAGTGATAGATTTGGTGAAGTCATAGTAAATGGACAGCTGAGAGAAAGTTGCATTTTGTTGTCCCTGCACACAATTTAATTTATGAGAATGTATGTTCTCATTTACTACGAACACTGCCATGTTGCTTCAGTCTCTACGTGACGTCACAGAACAACATGCATGAGTCTGACTTTCACGTTTGAAAGAAGTGGATGTTTTCTACGGACAGGTAGAACACAATATGTTTCCACATATTGAAACTAAATATTGATGTATACGGGACAAACTGATCATCAGCAAAGATGGACATCTTCTATTTATGGTTTTAAGTCTACAGCTACAGTGAATTATTTTATTCTGTGGAAGTCAACCAGTTGTACTTTTTTTATGAAATACTTAAAGGTGGGGTAGGTAAGTTTGAGAAACCGGCTTGAGATACACTTTTTGTTATATTCCATGGAATGCTCTTAACATCCCGATAGCAATTAATATCTTAAGTGCTTTGACAAAAAATCCATTAAAAAAATGTCATCAGTGGAAGCCGTATCACTGTAAAAAGCACGACCAATCATTTCAGCCGGCCCGGCTAAAATAACTGGATGGCCTACCTGCCTGTCAGCCTTCCATCTGTGTACAAACTTATCTCGTGCCCTCATTGGTCATGTGCGCGTTCGAGTGTGTTGGAGGAGGGGCTCTGTAAGGAAGTAGCCGATTTCTTCCGGCTGTGCATTTTCAAATTCTAGCGCACTCGAGCTGGTTTCTCCAAAATTAGTTGCAGGCTATATTTTTTATTTTTTAATGTGTCACAATTGTTACTCCCCACACAAGTATGCATATGTTGAAATTAGATCAAATGGTTTAAATTCAAAGTACAGCATCAGCTGTTGGCTGTTTCTCTCTCATGTATTAGTTATTGAACCCAATCTTTGCTGTGCATTGACATCTTGGATAAACAGGTTAGTCAATAAACACTTTTAGTTTCCGTGATAAAAAGTAGTAGACGTGCATGGGTATAAAAGCTACCAAATCTCTGATATTCTTTTTATTCTTTTAGACATTTTAGCATTACTTCAATAATGGTAAAATATTAAGAGAAGTGGGTGCAATAAAGGCTGAGCCAAAAAAGTTTTTTTTTAATCATGTTGACAAATACAATTATTGTCATTAACTTTTTAATTGTGGAATGCAGTCGATGACAAGTGATTTCCGATGATTTAATGTATTTATTTTGGAATATGTTTGATTCTATGTTTCATAGTTGTTTAACATCTGCATTCAACAATCATACAATATGTATTTGTAATAGAATCTATATATATATATATATATATATATTTGTTCTGTGATTTACTATGTTTGTGTACTATAAAACATATTTTAAGAAAATATTTCAGATATTTGTTGAGGGTTTAGACAAGGTTTTACTTGTTGTGTTGTAACTGTATGAACATATTTGTTGTATGTCTGCGTTATTCATTTTTTATATTAGAAACAAAAAGACAATCCTGATCTTGATAGTTTGTGCCTTGCAGTATTAGGAATCTTGCACTTTAATGATGTGTGTATATTCAGATTAGAAACAAATCAAACAGACAAGGGTTCAGACCCTGCCAGGATCCCTTTTTCTAAAGTTACAAAACAAACAATTATGGTTAACATTATTAACCAGCTTTTTACAATTGGTTTAGGTCTTTGGGCGCCAACAGAGAAATAGTGAATATAGACCCTTGCCCCTCATTATCCATTAGTAAGCCGCAAGATATCCCAGGAAGTTTGATTGCAGATTAAATAGCAAAAGTGACGTTATAGTTATATGAATTATCATGTCTTTTTGTCTTTTATGATCAAATAAAACGTTGTTTCAAAGAACATATTCTTCAATATTTCCTTATTCACTTTTGTGTTTTTGTTTCCTTGCTTCAACTTGAAATGACACTGAGGCATCGATGGCACATTATTGAAATCTGAATCACTTGTAAGGTGGTTAGTTTACAAAGCCTTATTATCATGATACGATTTATTTGTAAGTATTTAATTTACTAATTTGTCTATCAATACAATATCTCAATAAAGCACCTGCCTCGATGTAAACATCTGCAGCTTTCATTTTTCTCTAAGCAGCAGGAGCTCTGATTGGCTGGTACATGTTAACCCTCTGAATTTTACGTAATTAATCATATATTTTCGATTATAAGGAGTAGAAATATGATTCAGATATCCGCGGAATCACTGGAAGAGTAGCTTTCCAGCGGTATCTCCTGTGAGACTGTAACCAGGGCACAGCAGCCAATATGGCCGCTCAAGGTCTGAAATGACCAATGGACATCGATAAATCACTAAGGACCTACCCACCAAGTAAACAAAACATAAACCACGTGTCTCCCATCAGTTTACGTCTTTGAGGAGAGAGAGAGAGAGAGAGAGAGAGAGACAGAGAGAGAAAATGGCTAAAAAAAACGTTACAGTTGCCGACTTCGCTAGAGATTTTGTTCGCTAGCAGCAGTGAAGATAGAGCCTCAGAACGTGAAGTCTTCGACTCTTCTGAAGAAGAAGAATACAAAGACAACAACAAGGATCCATTTGGGCATGGGTAAGTGTAAATATTACAGTAATAGTGTACTGGCAATGTGTGGGGAATACCGCGAAAATGAACAATAGGTTTATTGATATGTATTTTTTATCGATAGTCATGAACTTTTTATTGGACAAAATAGACTCTCCATTAGCAAATGTTTACTCTGTGTTAACGTTATTTTGGTGTGTAAAAGTGAGATTACATGTGTAGAGGATTACATTAATAATTTATTCGTCCCACAACGGAGACATTTACAGTGACATGTTTTTGCCATCGATTATTTTATCATACTGTTCTGTACAGATGAGACTTTGTCATAGATTTATTTATATGTGTGCCTGTTATTATTTTTACCGTCCTGTACAGATGAGACTTTGTAATCAGATGAGACTTTGTAATCAGATGTAGCCTATGTATATGTGTGTCTGTGATTTTATACTGAATGTAAAGTAACTGGAAATACTTATATAATATACTGATTATATCACGTATATCAGTAAGTTACAGTACAAGTAACTTATAACTAAATTAATTATTACAAAACATGATTCACAAAATATTCAATGCATAAAAATACTGTGTGTGTGTGTGTGTGTGTGTGTGTGTGTGTGTGTGTGTGTGTGTGTGTGTGTGTGTGTGTGTGTGTGAGTGTGTGTGTGTGTGTGTGTGTGTGTGTGTGTGTGTGTGTGTGTTCCTTCTCCAACCTCCCAAACTTTCTTTTTATGTGTGCATTGTTATTTGTGCTTGAGCAACATTTTACTTGAACTTTATTTCAATGAAATTAGTTGTAATTATTGTCCTACATTTTAATTTGTTTTACAGAGATGTTTCACAGCTGCCTGGGCCTAGTGGCCCACAGGCGGCGTTTATCCAGCAGCCAGAACATCCATCTGTGCCGGCCCCCAGGTCAAGATCTACCGTGGCTCAAGGGCCTTCACCAGAGCCATCAAGGACCAGCAGACCAGCATCACTACAGCTGCCTCCACCTCCATCTGCGGCTGCCACCAGGTCAAGATACACCTCAGCACAAAGGCGCCATCACCTTCAACCCAGCCAGCAAGGAGGTCTCGTGGAGGTCTCGTATAGCACTTGTACACCCCACCTACACAGCAGCCCATGCACCATCACCCCCATCTTCACAGCAGCCAGACCCACTGTCTTGGAAGACAGACAAAGACCTTGACACTGTCTTGACATTTATAATGAATAGTTGGTTGAAAGTTCTGATGTTCAATATTGTAAATAGTTAGATTTTCCAGTTTCTTATATTTATATAAATAGTTGGTTGAAAAAAACATATTTATAATAAATTGTTGGTTGAAAAAAAAGGTTGAATGCTCAATTTGTATTTGTACACATCACATGAACCTTGGTATGTAATATGAAGTCATTATTCAGTCCTGATGTATCTCAGCCCCTGCTGTGGTGAAAGTAGAGTGATAAACACCTATTTTACTCAAAATTCGAATTAAATTTTTTTCATTTTAGACATGAATAACACATTTATATACAGTGTAATTCAAATATTTCACTGCTTTTGTGATCCTAAGACTTTGGTAACCTAATCTAAAACACCAAAACAATTCGATCACATGAGTAAATTTGTGTTTTCACAAAAGTTTTGAAGATTTTCCGAAAATCGGATGTCAAATGTTAAGCTTTTGAGCTACTTATCTCATCAAACAGTGCTCTAAGGTGAGTAATTTGCATATATAGCAATACAAAAGATTGTCCTGAACATTTTGATATTTAACACATGGGGTGCCATGTTAGAAGAAATACATTTAAAAGGTGATTTAAGAAAACATCTAAAAATCGAGAAAATACCCTTAGACTCCAGAGGGTTAAAGTGCTGCCACCTGCTGCTGCGTGCAGGAACAGGTGATGACAGTATTGTCTTGGACTTTCTTTACTTTCAAATTATTCAGTGCATCAAAATTACTATGTCCACGTCCCCACAATTAACAACTTTATTATTTGATCACAATAGATTTATTTTTCAGGCCTTTCATATATTGCCCAATGCCCATGTTGTTTAAAGCATTTTATTTTAAAGTATTTTCATTGTTAAACCAGAGGCAGTATGTTAGTGTATTTTTTGATAGCGTTGTTAAGACAGCACTTTTCATTTTTAGACTGTCTCCGTGTGCCAGTGGTGAAGTGACGCATGCGTAATTTGGCCCACACGGTCTGCCGTAGTCGGAAAGATGGCGACCTTAGCGCTGGTTAGCCGTCCTGCTGGTGTCCTTCCAAGGATTGCAAGTGAGTAATGTAAAATCAGTACGCATTTGATAACTTCAATAAAAACTTAGAGTATTATGGTGTGATTTAAGATCTTTACACATGCTTTGCCAACCCAGGCTCACAGTTAGACTACATACTCTGCTAGTGAGTGACCTTGCTAACAGGCTCGGCTTTACCTGCTAACATGGGCTTTAGCGAGCTACTAGCTTACAATTGAACTTTTTGATTACTTAAAAATACTATCAGCTGAGTTACTTTACCATATTACCACCCAAACCTCGTTATGTGTTGTAAATTGAGGGTATTGAGTTACGTTTGGCAGTGCTTTAGCAATGTCCTTTCCAGTTGTCCAACTTGACGTGACGTCTGATTCAGTGGCTCAAAACATGACTGAACGTTACAGTTTATAATAAACATACAACCCGGGATCTAAACATTACTTAATAACATATCTGTGGTTTTACACTAACGATGCTGATAATAATATGCGTCTGTACAGTGACACTGAGTTACCGTTTGTTTCCTCTCTGCTCACTTTACATCACAAGGTTTCGGTTTGTAATTGTATTATTCGTAAGTAGTATAAGTAAGCATGGAGCCCTAAAATACGTCTTCTTCATCTGCTCAGTGCATTCACCAGTTTTCTATATCGTATAGCTAGTTTTGTAGTTTGTAGTGAGAGAGAGGGAGAAAATAATAGTGGCGTAAAATACCATAGCAGTGCAATGCTCAGCGTAACGATCTGATATCAAGGCTGTAGTCTGTGGTGAATGTTAACTATTATGTTACACAGAATGGGGTTTTTAATTCCATATACATTATTACATTAAAAACACCCTTCTGTGTTTGTTTTTATGTATAAAAACAATAATAAACTGTGATCGATCATGATTCATCTTGTTTAAAGTATTTGTATTTAGGGGGGTGGTAAAACACATACGCGTGTGGTGTTGTATATAAATAATTGCATGACAAATTTGCAAGGGAAATCAAAATGTTGTGTAACTAAATTATACGTGATATTTGAAACCTTTGCATGAATTCGGACAATTTCCCCACACTTGGCTATAACATCAATAAACCCACTATCATGGAGAACAGCGGTCATTTCTGTAAAATATGTGATACACAGGTTGAGGTTACACAGAGGTAGTGCCATGCAATTTATAGTAAACATCCGTGCTGGAATTACGAGAAGAAGTTTGGGTCAAACTTGGTAATTAGATGAATTGGCGTTAAAAAAATGTAAACGCGTTAAGGTTTCCAGATGAATCGCCGGCATAAACATTGACAGCACTATTATATTTATCGATAGATGGATAGATATACAGTATAGATAAATAGGTGTGGTTACATCAAAGAAAGCATAAATAACAGTTCCACAATCTACAAAAAAATAATTTAAAAAATAAACATAACCAGCATGAAGTTTGGTTGAATTGCTAAATTAGATTAAGCAATGTGTACCAACTTTATTGTCAAGTTGTAGTCTTACCACCGGATGTGTATGAAACGCTGCCTGTGTCCCTCTGCAGGTGGCTGCTCCCCTGCTGTGTTGTCAGCGGCCTCCGTCACCTCCGTCCAGCAGAGGAAGCTCCACCATGCCGTCCTCCCCAAAGGGAAAGGAGGCCGCTCCTCCTCCAGTGGGATAGCGGCGACGGTGTTTGGTGCTACAGGTTTCCTGGGGCGATACGTGGTCAACAGGCTGGGTGAGTCTAACATGTACGGTGTAAATATGGATGTAAAATATCTTTCCACTCGCTAATATTTACTTCATATTTAACACATTTGTTTATTTACTTTATGACCAGGGGGGTATACTACGAAGCAGAATTTTCGCTTAGCCGGCTAACTTCAGGGAAAACTCCGGCTTTCCGGTCCTACGACGCTGGTTCTCTTTTTAGCAGGCTAGATCTCCATGGTAACTTATGCTTAGCGGCTAGCCTGCTCCGGAGCAGGTTAGGTTGCAGGCTAAGAGCTCAACTCAGTGAAAGCACCGCCTGCTGACCAATCAGAGCTCAGTGTGCGGAGTTTAAAGCGATCAAGTCATATTACAGGAGAAAGGAAATACAGAAAAGCTGCCGTCGCTGGAAAGACGGCCGGCAAAAATCACCGACTGTGTGATCGTGAACATTAATAGAATATCACCTCCATCTTCAGAGCAATCTGACTATTATAACATTAGCGTTAAGAAAGCTTACTTAAATATCTGCCACAACCTAAGTAACCGGATCAGAGTAACATTAAGTAGGCCTACAGTCCGCGGCATATCACTTCATAATGTATCATATATTTCCTTATCTGAGTCAGCTGAGACGTATCTGGCCGTGCAACACTCACAGTGTCACATACTATATGCAGAAGTATTATTTTAAGCAACACATTAAGTTGACGAAACACTCGAGACAAATGTAATTAAAGTCAGATCGTGTTTTAGACGGGGCCGTGATATCATAAACCTGTTAATGTACGCATTCAAACACTTGTTCTTTTGCCAGCTGTATTCACCTTGCAGGTGCAGCTATGTGGCTTTTATCCTGGATAAAGTGTTTAAGACATGGATGTTTAAAGTTTAACTTCTTCATATTTGTCTAATATTATAGTTGACTTTTCATTCAGGAAGTATGACGCCGCGCTGTCAGTACGCTTCTCCATGTTTGTGATTGGTCGAATGCTCCAGATACCATCCCTCTCATGTGAACGCGCACCTAACTAGATAGGACACGGCTGGCTTGAGCGATCCACTTGATAACCAGCGTCGTAGGACCGTTTAGCGAGAGCGCGTATGTTTTGGATTAGGCCAACCGTCTAACTCAAACATATCCAGGTTAGGTTGAACCAGCTTCGTAGTACAGGCCTCTGGTGCTTTAAAACTTCCCCCCATGTTTGCTATATCCCTGATAAGATATAATCTCAGTTATGATCATATGTTTTGAATTCAGTGGTTTATGAGAACTGATAGGTAATCTAGCATTTTATTTTAGCTCTTGATAACCAGAGAAAAAATGTAAACAAATCCTCTAAAAGGGCACATGCATTTTATTTTGAGCCTATCACTCCAGTTCATTTAAATGTTGGTATTTTGTTGACCTATTCAAAATCAATTTACCCCTGTGTTCTCTTTTTCTTAGCTCCTTGCGCAAAGATTTGATTGTATGCGTTTATCAAATGATGATTTGCAGGTCGGATTGGCTCTCAGGTTGTAATCCCTCACCGCTGCGATCAGTATGATGTCATGTACCTTAGACCCATGGGTGATCTTGGACAGATCCTTTTCATGGTAAGACCAACACAGACACACAGGAATCTTGCTGAAGTATTCTAAATAAGTATTTGATATAAACACTTTGGAGCCTGAAATGAAATGCAAACACATTGTCTCTGTTCTGTCTCTTTGCAGGACTGGGATGCCAGGAACAAAGACTCCATCAAACACGCTTTGGAGCACTCTAATGTTGTCATCAACCTGGTGGGCAGAGAGTGGGAGACAAGGTATAGTAGGTTAAAATAGTATCTAAGGATGCACCGGTTACACATTTTCAAGCCAATACCAGTGTTGAGCATAACCATTTAGCCAATGCTGACGTTTTTGTTGTTGATTTGTATTCTTTTTTTGTGCCAGGGAAGTACATTTGTTATATAAGCCCTACATTACATTTACTTTGAATGATCACAAATTCAATCAAACAAATGTATTAAACTAAAATGAATAAATGTTGTGTATTTGCCTGGGACAAGTTAAATCTCATGGCCCTTTTTGTATTTTGTTGTAGTGGCCGATGAACTGCCTATGCATCAGTGCATCCCAAGATTTATGTTATATTTTGTTGTTCACATGAAAAATAATTAAAGCTGGCTTTGCAATGTTGGTGATTTTTGGAGAACAAAACTGAATGGCCATATAAATTGAAGGAAACATTCACATGCAAGTATTTCTCCTCTTTTTGTGTGAAGTAACTATCGCTTCGAGGATGTCTACGTGAGCATCCCTCAGCAGATTGCCAAGGCAGCCAGAGAGGCCGGCGTCACCAAGCTCATCCACATGTCTCACCTCAACGCCGACATACGCAGCCCGTCCAAATACCTCAGGAACAAGGTAGAGGGTTGTTTCTCTCTCTGTCAATTAGTACAAAGTGTATCTATGTGTCTGTGGCATGTTGGATGCATGCCAGTAAAAGGTTAACCTGTAGAAATGTCGTTCATCATTGTGAGTTATTTTTGTTGACTGTAGGCCGTAGGAGAGGCAGCAGTGAGAGATGAGTTTCCTGACGCGATCATCATGAAGCCCTCGGAGATCTTTGGCAGGGAGGACAGGTTCTTCAACTATTTTGCAAGTAAGACTATTGTTTGTGAGTGATAAGGCTTTATTGGTAATGTGCCAGTCTCTGAGAAACGGGTCTTTTTTTTCTAAAATGCTCTAACACTCCTTGTACGAACACAGGTATATACACTATATTTAAAAAAAACTAGTTGGACCACTTGTTTGACAGTGGGAGTAGACGTTCGAAGAGTTTCACTCCAAATGCTATGTGTTTCTTCAAATCTTTTTCAGATATGCGTTGGTTTGGGAATGCTATTCCACTCATATCCCGGGGGAAGAAGACCGTGAAGCAGCCTGTTCATGTACGTTTATTTAAAGCAATACCCCTTCTGAAATCTATCCCTTTATCACACATTTAAATATCCAGAAATCGCTTAGCAGCTGAGTCTGTGTTAAGCTCCTGACTTCAGGTTAAGTTGGCTTAAGACAGAAGGAATTTCACAAGGAGCATCACTGTATTGCTCCCATTGATTCTAGTCTATCTATCTCTATTGTTTGTCTTAAGGAAACGATACACAGTGAATAACTCTAAATGTTCAAACAATCCTGGCTTCAAATCAAATCAAGTTTTATTTATACAGCACATTTATAAACGATTTTTGGTGGAGCCAAAGTGCTGTACATATAATAAAATTAGCCTACAGTCGAGACACTTTACAGCAAATACAACAGCACAGATTGTTCAGAATATCAGTATGAGAAAAACGACACCCTCTATCCTTAGACCCTCACATCGTACAAGGAAAAACTTCCAGAGAAAACCCACAGTTTAAGGGGAAAAATGGAAGAAACCTCAGGGAGAGCAACAGAGGAGGGATCCCTCTCCCAGGACGGACAGACGTGCAATAGATGCCGTGTGTAAATCGAAGAGATAATACATTTTACAGCATATAGACCGAATGTTAGGAAATGCATGTGTCTGTAATAAGAAGATGAATCCACGAGGATGTCAGCTACAATCCTGTGGAAGCCATCAGGGAAGCAGCATGACGAGACCCAAGGCAGGACCGCAGAGACAGGTTCAGCCACGACCCGAAGTCCACGACTTAATCCAGAACTCGGGATAGAGGATCCAAGACACAGGACTACAGCAAGAGGATCAGCCTCGACTCCGGATCCCGGCGTAGATATAGATACAAAACAAGAAAAAAGATTTGGCTGGGTTAATCGGAACAAGAGAATACACAGACACAGACAGAGAGGGAAAAGGTCATTGGATAAAAGTTATTCTTGATAATCCTCTAGAAAGATCTCATGAACTTCCCCACTCAATTTATCAAGACCCGAGCAGTTCTATTAGATATAGGATAAGAAACAGAGAGAGGGAGCACAACAACCTATGTCTTCGTCAGATGCACTCCCCCGCTTATCTAAGTGACTCTGTACCCCGTTACCCTCTACAAGGCCATAGACCAGCAGAGGGAAAATGGGGGGTGGGTAAGGGTTTTTAAGAATAAACCGCAAGGGTCTAAAGGGAAAAAAGATGAAATATAAGGTACTATATTTTAAGTAATCCTATCTACTATTCCTATATTCGAATAATGTATAAACTATTTTAAAAATACTTGTTATAAATATTAAAATTATACCAATAACCATCTCTTTCCTCCTGCAGGTGGTGGATGTGGCCAAGGCCATTGTCAATGCTATCAGAGACCCGGATGCTAATGGAAAGACCTACGCTTTAGTTGGGTAGGTGGTGGTCAGCCCTTAAATAATCCCTTTGTTTGAAAACCTTTCCCTGGGAGTAGAGGAGCAATCATGAAATTCTACAATCATAACACAAAACACAAATTATTTACAGATTTTAATTCATAGCAAGATCAATCAGCCATTATAAGGCGTGTGGTGCAGTGGGTTGTGAGTTGATGTTCGGATCAGGGGGTCACAGGTTCAAACCCCACTGTAGTCAGCATGTCGTTGTGTCTCTGGGCAAGACACTTCACCCCAAATTGCTCCTGTGGGGATTGTCCACAGTATTGAGTATGTAAGTCGCTTTGGATAAAAGCGTCTAACAAGTGACATGTAATGTAATGTAATAACCATTCTTTGTACTGGTCTAAAAAAGTGTAACAAAAAAAAAACACTTCATTGTAGTCCTTAAAGTTTAATGCATCAAAACATTTCCTGGGTCTGAATGGCTGCATTGCACAGAAATACATGTTTGTTGTATTTTTAATAGTAGGACAATAGGAATTCTACAAAAGTATACGTTTTTAGTCTTGGGAGGAAAGAAAAGACAGAACCCTGCACAAATGCCCTGTTCAGACATGGCCTTCACATGTGTCTGAGGTGATCCCATCAAAAGTGGTACCAAGATGCATTGAGATCCGATTGCTGCCTCCTGCTCTTATCCCTAGCTCTCTTGCACAGGCAGCAATGAGAGGCTCTGAGGTCCCCGAGGGCCATGGGAAAACATTATGATTTTAGCTTCATAAAATGTACCTAAAAGCTGAACATATGACACGCATACAGCCGTCGCATGTAGAAAAGAAGGTGTAATCCTACTGAACAAGACCATTGGACAGTTTTAATTAAAAAATTGCATGTTTTGTAAACAGCAATCCGATCATCTGTATGGAGGACATTGGGTGCAGTGTTTGTCCATGGATGAATGGAACACCTTTTGTCTACATATCTTGTCGTCTATAGTTAATGACCTGTATCTGTGTCAGCAAAGACTAACATGGAAATGGATCTCTTCCGTAACCTGTTTTCTTCCTCCTTTTATCCTGGTTTCTAGTCCAAACCGTTACCTCCTGCATGACCTGGTGGAGTACATCTACGCAGTGGCACACAAACGTTTTGTGGCCTACCCCCTGCCCCGCCCACTATACCAGTAAGTGCTTTATATAAGAAAACTAATCCTTTTTTTAAACTAACTCAACCAAACCAAAAGGTATTAACACACATGTTTCTAGAGGTTTCTTTTTTCTCATTTCAAATTCTGCAGAAATGTTTAACATGTGTATTGTGTGCTGATTGAACACATTATACAAACAAACAGCAGCCTACTCATCAACATATCCCCTTACAGAACAAATAGTAACTTGTCATATACCACAGTACAATCGTGTTATAGTTGTTTCTTTTTTTGTGTGTTTTTACTTTAGCCTTGCTGCTCAGTTTTTCGCAATGAGTCCATTCGAGCCCTGGACAACCCCAGACAAAATCGACAGGGTAAGACAACCAAGATTTTTAGGGAATTGCGCCAACAACTATGGAGCCTCAAAAGCCAACACTAACTTTGCACTGTGCTTTTTAATTGCCAGTTTCACGCAACAGACCTGACGTACCCAGGACTCCCTGGTCTGGAGGATCTAGGCATCACTCCTTCCTCTGTAGAACAAAAGGCAATCGAGATTTTACGTCGCCATCGCGCTTTCCGTGACCTGGAAGCTGACCAGGATGATACAAAGCCCGCCAAGACTGTCAGCTATTAGAATAGCAACAACACCAGGGCAGCCATAGGATGTCAGTCCCTCTTATTGTTTGGTCATTAACTATATTCTGTACATAAATTAATAAAAAGTATCCTCCAGATGTTGTCTTGCTTTAAGTGTTTTACTTTTTCGTTGCTCATTGTTTTTATTCGATGCGACTTAATGATCTGTTTTACATGAAGAAAGCAGAAGAATCCTGCAGGTACATTAACTTGTGTGTTTATCATACCACAGCACTGAATAACTCAGTGTTTCACAAAAGCCTAAAGAAGACAATACAAATCTTTTACGGGAATCTTTCCCGCAGACAGAGGCTTCTTTGAAAAAAGCGGTCAGGCTTAACGGGTTAATAAAGATGGCAACAGTAAGAAGCCATAACAGTTAAGGAAGAAGAATTCAACATGGGGCAGAGTTTAAATTCTATGAAGGTGAAGGTTGGCACAATCATGTATGACTTGTATCTGACCTTTGTCTTGGCTGCTAAGGTGTGACTGCGTCAAGGTTGTGCCTTGCTACAGCTTATCTCACATTGAAAGTAAAACTCAAGAGTTGCATTTTTCATGCACATATCTAATAAATTAGATGTAACCCTTACATAGGTACCTAGAAAAGTCAAATCATGGATTTATCTCTTGAGGTATGGTGTATAAGTGCCATTTTCTGTCCAATAATATCCTGAATTACTTTGGAGTCACTCTGGTTAACATCCCCATGTCGTATACATTTCCAGCAGCCAGAGGTTATCTAAGAAGGAAAGACAGAACAACTGATACTAAAATGGTTGTCAGACAAAACTAAACCAGTGACCCATGCACTGGGACTTCAAAGATAAGGACCCGCCTGATAGCCATCTTCTTATCCATGTATAGCAGGGGTGCCCAACCTTTTTTAAACCGAGAGCTACTTTTAAAGTTGCCAGTCTGCCGAGATCTATCAGTCCAATTAGAGAGGCGTAGCCATTACTGACAGCCTACTACCAGGTAAATACACACTTCTACTTGAATAAAACTGACCTTTGTACGATTAATACTTCATAAAATACTGCAGATCCTTGATCTTACCTCTTTCTAATCTACACACATACAAGTATTTAACTGAAGTTACACAACAGTGTTGTTGATACAGAGTTGGAGTTTATTCACACGTCACAAACTACAGTGGGTAATGTTTTCAAGAAACATTGAACAGTGCTGCCAATCGGCTTGTGAGCAGTTCTCCGCGCACCATTCCATGGAATGCTCTTAACATCCCGATAGCAATGGATATATTAAATGCTTTGACAATAAATATATTTAAAAAATGCATCTGTGGAAGCACGACCAGTCATCTGAGCCGGCCCGGCTAAAATAACTGGATGGCCTACTAGGCCATAAAGTGAACCCTGTTATCGTTTCATCCCGCTCCACAGAAGTGGAACTACACAATCTTTAGTTCATAAAAAAGAACGAGTCATGCTTATCCACCAAAAAAAAGTTCGTCGCTAAAATTCCTGTCAATTCTTCTAGGCACGTAATTATTGGCTGAACTAGTCCCTTCAAAGCGTAATAATATCTTGGTCAAAAGTAGTGCCACGGTCCGTCACGTGATCGTGCTACACCAATTGAGTAGCTGCATATACCGGTATCAACAAACAGATATGGAAAAAATGGCGACCGCCATGGTTTCATCGAGTAGCGGGGACGAGGAAAACGCACCAGAAAGTCTCAAAAAGTCAAAATTATCAACACACAAACATTGTTACATGCATATTACGTCTGTGAAGCACGAAAAGGTTGATTATTTTACCAATACAAGATGGAATACGTACAGGACAAGCTTACAACGGTGGCATTGATTTTGAAGTTACAAATACAATATTATCATATTACAATAATAATAATAATATATATATAAATTATATATATCTATAATAATAATCTATATATATCTATAATAATAATCTATATATATAATAATAATCTATATATATCTATAATAATAATCTATAATAATAATGCAATTCATCAAATTATTATATGATGAATGAGTAAATAAATGAATCAATGGTCATTGGTATAAGTACTGCATTTTATTGATCTAAATTACTTAACGTAACAAGTTAACCTTCTTGGACGCAGCTATGTATGAAATCAAGTCATGTTTATTGTAAGAGTGCATTTAACGTGTACAGGGTAACAATAACAACAGACAGACAGACAAAAAGTCCTCAGTCTAATGGAATAATCCACGAGCTCAGCCAATGAACCTAGTGATGCGAACATGGTAGTCCAGGAATGTTGTTGTAGCTGGAGTTGGCTGATAAACGCTGCTAGCCAATGTTGATTCGATGGTCAACTCTGTTCCCAGATAGTAAAACCTCTCACAAATACCGCGTATATAACGCAAATACCTCGGACTTAGTGATGTATTAAGACATGACAAAACATGACATAAAACAAGCATACAGCAATGTTTAGAATCCATTTGGTCTGGTTTAGCATAACCATGTAGGCGGCCATCTTTCACTTCTGTTGACAATATGCAGCACCCAATTGGTGTAGCACGATCACGTGACAAACCGTGGCACTACTTTTGATCAAGATATTATTACGATTTGAAGGGACTAGTTCAGCCAATAATTACGTGCCTAGAAGAATTGACAGGAATTTTAGCGACAAACTTTTCTTTGGTGGATAAGCATGACTCGTTCTTTTTTATGAACTAAAGATTATGTAGTTCCACTTCTGTGGAGCGGGATTTCTTTTCTAAAGGACTTTTCGAGGTTCACCTTGCGGCCTATACCTGCCTGTCAGCCTTCCATCTGTGCACAAACTTATCTCGTGCCCTCATTGGTCATGTGCGCGTTCGTGTGTGTTTGAGGAGGGGCTCTGTAAGGAAGTGGCAGATTTTTTCCGGCTGTGTATTTTCAAATTCTAGCGCACTCAAGCTGGTTTCTCCAAAATTACCTACCCCACCTTTAACTCCTAACAGTCATCATGTCAACCACAAGTCACAACACAGAGAAATACTGATAGAAATGTGTGTGTAGTTGTTGATACATTGCTGATAGAGGGAACTACATTTTAATACAGGTTTAAGAAATATCAGTTGGCCTCATCTCACAATGTCGCTTGGGGCCCCAAGTTGGCCAGGGACGGCCCTGGTGCTATGGCTCAGCTGGAAAGCAGTTCCCTGGTTCAACGACTGGTCAATACGTCTATTTTTGTTTGTTAGCTACAGCTAAAAGTGATAATGTAGTTCATACATGTATTCTTGATATGGTTTAGCATTTCTCAGGCTACAACATGGTTACGTTTACGAATACTATTAACCTCTTAAGCCCTGAGCCTGTTTTTAAGGTTTCAGGCTCGAAAATGCTATGCTCAAAACAAATGACTATAACTTAACTTCTAAAAGGGTTATATGAATAATTTCTTTTTTCAAAGCAAGGTTACATCTGTGAGTTGGATGTAGAAGTGTCAGAATCAATATAGATATTTCTCAGTCAGAGTACATTCAGATGGAACATAGTAAAAAAAGGTAAATTCTTACCCCCGCCTAAAAAAAAAACATTACTTATAGTGAAAACTACCCTTGAATGATGGGATAGTAGACTAAAAGCTTTCGGAATCCAAAGTATAACATATAATAAGTACCCTGTATCAAGATTGAGGCAAAACAAGTTAAATTTGACCTTTTTAGAGAGGTTTAGCTAAAAGTAGTCCAGGCGGACTGACCTTTGGGCACATTTGGGCACATTTGGATACCATCAGTGCCATTTGACCTTTTTCAGGTACCATACTGTAAAAATCATTTTATTATCACTACAGGTAATCATTCCATCCAAATACAAGTGTTTTAAAAAAAAAAAATATATTTTTAAATTACATTTTTTTTGTATGTAAATGGTGTGTGTGTGTGTGTCTGTGTGTGGACTTTGCCACAGCCCTTACATGTTTATCACCCGACTAACACTTCTAGGAAGGTTTACTTACACAATAACAATTAGGAAACACTTGTCTCTTGTCTTGAGCAGATTTATTTAAAAAATAACACAAAAAAACGACACTAAAACCAAAATAACACCACAAGCATTTTTTTTGTAAAATGTACACAACCTGAATGTGTTTAGTGTTTTTGAATTGAGGCACCAGGCACTTAGTGCAGTAGATAGGTCTTCACCGTTGTGTTGCCAGCATCAGAGCACCTCCTGAGCGCGGTGGCATCTTCCCCATAATACTTGGGAATGCATACGAGTGATGATGCAGCAAGCTGCTCCCTGAAGGACTTCTGGGTGTGTGGCTTCGTCCTGCCGGGGTCACCCCTCATCTTGTGCAGCTCCTTGTGGAGAAGGAAGCTGTTCACCACTGCAATGTCCAGAAAATGGTAAAAAAAAAGGTCTTGTACCATTTCATGGTTTTGTGGTGAACACTGTAGTACCCAATCAAAGCATCGGACACATCCACGCAACCCATGCTTCTGTTGTAGTCCATCACAGTGTCAGGAACGGTAACAACCTTAGTCTTCCACACACCAGCCCGTTTCACTTTCCTCCTGACAGTCTGTCCACTGAATCAGAAGATGCAGAGGGAGGCTGAGTTAGTACTGGTGCAGACGTCCGGCGGCGTAGTTTGGATGTTGATGGCTCTGAGGCAACTGTATGCTGATCTGATGCACGTCGTAGCTCGGATGAGGCAGATGTTGATGGCTGTGATCCAGAAGCCATTTGATACTCGTCTTCATCACTGTGAAAACAAATGTGGAAAAAACAATTACTTTGATTACTTCACTGGCTTATTCTTTCAAAAATGTAACTCAAATCAGAAATAATTCCTCCATTTAGCGTGTGTGAAATAACAGTATACATAATGTGTGTATACTGTTATTTCATATATATATATATACTATAGCGTGTGTGAAATAACCACAGCCTACATATATATATATATGTGTATACTGTTATTTCACACACGCTATAGTATATATATATATACTGTTATTTTACACACGCTATAGTATATATATAGACTGATATACAATACAGCTTTATTTATAAACTGCTGTTAGTCAATGTCTGTAGAACTACAAAACAGCATCCATTTGGCGTGTGTGGAATAACAGTATATATACTGGGTTGATATACAATACAGCTTTATTTATATACTGCCGTGTTATAGTCACGAAATACAATTAATCTATTTATACGTTCACAAACATGATGTTGCCATTGTTTTAGTTTCTCACGGAACGATAACGCTACAACAACAAAGCGGCGTCCATTTTGTATTTTGCGAGTGTGTAATTACTATAGATTACACCAAATACACAACTAATAGATACAAACAGAGAGAGTACATACCTTTCCTGAAGTTCATAATCAGGGTTGCCTGCTGTTGTCTCTGTGTTCTCTGTTCGCTGTGTTGTCGCTTCGCTGTGTTGTGTTCGTTGCTGCTGTGCTGGAGCGGTTGTGCGGCTGCGTCTGCTCCGTCTGTGCGTAAAGCAGCCGCTGCTGGCATTATTCATACTACGCAGGATCCTATCTCTGGAACCCATTGGTCGATTTGGGTGATTGACACCTTTTTTGAAACTTTGGAGCCAATAGAATCGAGGGGGAGTTAGTAAATGCCGCTAAACACTTACTTCAAGGAGAGAGGCTCGCGTAAACAGCACGTGAGAAAGCCAAACCCCGGACTGCAAAACTTTATACCTACGATGCGGCCATGAATGTAATGATGGATTATCAGGAACAATTCTAAAGTGACTAAGAGACATTGATTAACCTTGAGCAGCGTTTTTATTCCCTTGAACACGACTTTTGATCACAAAACAGCAACGGTAAGACATAATTATTGTTATGCTTTAGAACACTGTTGTTGTTTTCTTGCTCTGTTCTGGCTGCTCGCTCAGTGAGTTTGTGTCCTACAGTGATGATACTTATATAACAATAATCTGTGGAGTATCAGCTTTCAACTGATATGTAGTTTGTGCAGAAAATATTAAGTTTTAAAGATCGTTTTTGCTAGTTAGCACCGGAAGTAGCATCAGCCTGTTTTCACTAAGGGCTAATGCTAACGCTTCTTGTGAGACTTGTGTTTTGTTTCGGTAAAAATGGCTCATATCATTAGGTTGCTGAGTTTTTTCCCGTTATTTGAGTATAAGACATTCATAGGTTTTTAAATATTAAGAAGCCGCCAGACGCTGTCTCCTGCAGTGACGTGTTTTTCCGCCCGGTATCGGGGGGGCCGGGTTTAAGTTAAGGAATACAAATCCCTCTTTGCAATGATTACCAGCCTCCTTAGGATTTTCAACCACAATCATTGAACTGGAATAAATACAATATTGTTAACATGAAAATATGATTTTACGTTCGTTATTTTAGAGTTATTCTAAGGCTTTACTCATTGGGAACTCGGTATGAGATAGAGCACACTGTTGAGATGTCCAATCTGCCTGTTTTACACACTTTAACCAACAGGGGGGTTTGTGTCCAGATGAAGCCTCGTGAGATGAACCCTTTTGCGAACCAATAGCTTGGTTTCACGTGACGTCACACCGTTGCGTTCCTTTGGCGCGAAATTCCATTGGAGGTCAGGAAGTAATTTTCTACAGAGGATCTAGCTGCTGTTACCATTGTGAAAATGCCGGTGTGTCGTGTAGTTTACGGTTGTTCCAATCGATCCGGCCGAGAGAAAAACAAGAGGTTTTACCGAGTGCCGAAGGTTGTCGTCCATAAAGCTGAGCAATTTAAGAAGCTAACCGAAGAACGCCGGGAAAAATGGCTTTCAAACCTACATCTGCGGTCGGGAGGAGCAGAGTCGTCTAATGCACGGGTCTGCAGCGACCACTTCATCAGAGGTATTAGCTAACTTGGTTTTTGTGGCTTTGTTTAGGTATTATTGGGTTGTGGTTAAATGCGTATTTACTTAGTAATACTGATCATGTTTAAGTTACCTGTAGTCTAATATGGACTTTGTTGGGACTTTTTAGGGTGCCCTAGCGCTTTGGGTGACGTTGAGTCGGTAGACTGGGCTCCCACTGTTAGCCTCGGTTACCACACAACAAGTAAGCCCAGATCAGAGGCATCTCTTCGACGAGAGCAGAGGATGGAGCTCAAGGAAGACCAACAAAGACAATCAGAATGTGCAGAGGCTTTGTTGGATCTCCTGCAGACAACCGAGAGCCCAGAACCGACGCAGCCCCCGTCTGACAGCCCACAACCAGAGGACACCAGTGGGATATTAAATGACCAACAAGGTAAATTAACCACCAGCATTATTATTAAATATTACAAATGTGATTGTCAGAAAATCAATGCAAACTTTGAATTAGGTTTAGAAAATAGAGCACTAATTTGAGAATCTGCAATAATTGGAACAGATAACTTGCATGTCTGTAAAAAGGTTGTCAAAAAGATAACTTCACAAAAATTCACATTCATATTTGACTATTTTAAATAACTAATTATGCTTGCTACTGCTATATTGTATGCAGATGCAGGATGCCAGACTGATTTAACGATGGAGGACATCGAGAGGATGGAGGATGTTCTGAGACAGAACACAACAGAGCTGGGAGATCTTCGGACAAAGGCACTGGACACAAAGTTCAACCAGGAGTCCTTTGAGAACAACGAAGAGAAAACAAAGTTTTACACCGGGCTCCCCAACTTCTTAGTTTTACTTCAGGTTTTTCAACTGTGCGAGCCCTACATCACCTTTGGCCCTATGTCTGTGCTCTCCAAATTTCAACAGTTCATTTTAGTTTTGCTGAGGCTGAGACTAAATCTCCCTCTGAAAGATTTGGCTTTCAGGTTCAACATCTCTCTCTCCACTGCTTCTAGAATTTGGCATAAGTTAATTGACATACTTCACGAGAGTACAGAATTTATAATTGAGTGGCCAGAGCGACATGTACTTCAAGCTACAATGCCAATGGGATTCAGACTCAGACTAAAGATGCCTGCATTCACCAGGGGGAAAAGTCAGCTGTCAGCATACAAGGTGGAAGAGACAAGAAAAATAGCTAATGTGCGTATTCATGTTGAAAGAGTCATAAGATTAGTCAGAAGAAAATATCAGATTCTGCAAAGCAGGGCTGTGCCCATAGAGCACATGCTAACAAAACCAGGTGAGGCACTAGCATTAATTGACAAGATTGGGGTTATTTGCTGTGCCTTGTCTAATCTGTCAGTGTCTGTCGTCCCATTGGAGTAAAGTCATGGAGCTGTAGTCTTGTAAATAAGAAACCATGTATTATTCAGTATCATTTAATCTTTTCAGTAAACATCTTTTTGTGTTCAAACATCTTGTGTTCAAGTCTTTTCAGTAAACATATGTTTGTGTTCAAACATCTTGTGTTCAAGTCTTTTCAGTAAACATCTTTTTGTGTTGAAAATTGTGTAGGGGCGGATCTAGACAAATATTCATGGGGTGGCAAGAGGGTGGCAGGAGATTTTGAGGGGTGGCATCCCCTGACAGAAGTATATGCTGATTTAAATCGCAATCATATCAATCAATTAGGGGTGTAACGGTACACGTACCCGTACTGAAATTATTCGGTACGGGCCCTTCGGTTCGGTACACGTGTGTACCGAACGAATATAGCGTTAAACGTAAAAAATTGAGAACATGAACAACTTTCTGGAAGTAATCTATATCATAGAGCGACCAAGTCATTTCATTGGACGAGAGGCATACTATGAGAGCTGGTCACAGGGATGCGTTCAAATGTAGTCAGTAATTTGAGGAACTGTCGAAATGGCGAACGCAGATAAAGTTGAGCTCGAAAATCCTCCGGCATCATTGAAGTCTCCGGTTTGGGAACATTTTGGTTTCGCAGTTACGTACAAGGATGACGGACAAAGACAGGTGGACCGAACCAAAGCTGTTTGTCGGCATTGTTCAACTAACATTGGTTACGCGGCTGGCAATACATCACACTCATTTGAAAAGGCATCACCCGAATGTGAATATTACCGGTACCAAAAAGAAAAAAGACTGAAGTGCAAACCCAACTCCCACTAGCATGTAAGCCTCCACCACTCGCAAAGAGTTCAGACCGAGCCAAAGCTATTACAAACGCCAAATATCCTTATGTTGCCATGTTAGCAAAGCGCTACCTGGCTGTATCTGCTGCCACTGTCCCTAGAGAGGGTGTTCTCCACAGCAGGAGACATTGTTAGTGCCAGCAGATCTGCCCTTTCAGCAAGCAATATGGACAAGTTCATCTTTCTTTAAACAACATGAAAATACAATGACAAGCAAGTCCTAATGTTAAGCTGGCTGCTTAGGTACTAGTACAGTTCAAATACAGATTATTTCAGTTCATCGAAATGCTGCACCTTAATGTTTATTTTACTATATTTTGTATTTATTTGAATACATTAGTCACAGTTTAATAATAATTTAAAAAAAATATTTAATGTTTTTGTGATAATTTTTTCTGCTGTACCGAAAACGTACCGAACCGAACCGTGACCTAAAAACCGAAGTACGTACCGAACCGAAATGTTTGTGAACCGTTACACCCCTACAATCAATGTTAACTTGGAAGGCCACAATATTAATATTTTAACTCAATCACATAGGTGATATTATTGTGGACCATCAGTAAAGCCTTACAAGGTGGCAGACGTAATTTAATGAATTTTAACTGAACAATAACTGAATGAGTTTGTTTCACTCTTAGACCAGCAGGGGTACCAATCTATGCAGACTGCTGCAATAAGTACATTAATTAACTGTCTCATCGATGTTTGTCTGAATGAATATGATACTATTAACAATCATATTATTCCTATCAGCTGTCAATCACTGTTAATAAATAATAATAATAATAGATTTAATTTGTTAGCGTTTTTACAGGTGCTCAAAGACGCTTTACAGATATAGTGAAGAACTGTTATGATTCACATATTCATTTATTATTGAATAAACTATATTTTTTGGAGGAGTTAATGATGAATGTTCATCAAGATGCTTGCTCACCCTCCTTCAAATTTGAAAAACAAGTAATTATATCATTATTGATATACAGTTACAACCTTGACTTTACATCAGAAAGAACAAACATTAAAGAAGTGACTAACTGCATCAGTTAGGGTTAAAAAACGTGTATTCAGCTAAAGCATAAACATCGCTACAGTTATTATCCAGTGGAAGGTCCTACCTACTGGCCTAGTTAAATCAAAGTGGTTACTTTCTGTTGGCTGGGCAGTGTAGTTTTACACACCGTCTTATTTTACTTTCTCAGGACTTAAAACTGTTTTTTGGGGGCAGACCTCCTCAAAGAAAAATATATATACACGCATACAAGGTCATCATCTTATCTCATCGAGTCATCCGTGAGCAGAGCATCAAGTTGGCATGTCTATTGTCTATTGTCTAATGCGGCGATTACTATTTTGTTCAGCAAAACGCCTCACAAACTTATTAAGATCAACAGCTGTAGTGCGTTTTGATTCAATGCTGAGTACAGCCAAACTTGACATTCTCTTCTCTGTCATTGTAGACCGCAACTACCTCATTCCTTCAGTACTTGGGTCCGAAAGGCTTCTCGTTTTGCGCCGTTCCCACGTTCAAGTGAATTCGCCACCAATCATATTTCCACTCTCGCGCCAGGACCGGGGGAGGGGTTACGTGACGTGCATCTTGTGCTGCATTCACTTGCACTCGGACATTAGAGACTTTCTCTCATAAATGTCCGATGAGCCACAACTTTTCTTTCAAAACAAAGATGCCAACTGGGGTGGCAGCTGGGGTGGCAAGGCTATTGTTTAGGGTGGCAGTTGCCACCCCATGCCACCCCGGTAGATCCGCCCCTGGCCCTACTCAATATACAACTTTCATCTACATTCAGGCTTAATTCATTCAACAATATTCTAGAGATGACAATTGGTCTGGTGACGCTCCCATGTATGGCCATTGAGGGTTATTGTAAATGTAAATAAGAAACCATGTATTATTCAGTCTTAGTATCATTTAATCTTTTCAGTAAACATCTTTTTTACAATAGCAATATATCACACAGCCCTACTTCCTCTAGTGAGTGTGGTCAGTGAATATGAAGGTGCTGTAATGCAGGTTAAAGAGCTGCCACTGTGCAAATGTTACGTTCCCTTGTAAATATAGGGGTACAAAGGGAAGTAGCGACACACAACATAACCGGCCGAGAGAAAAAGGAGGAAACTGATCTCTGACGCCATAAAGTGGTCTTTTAATTAACACAACGAAAAAGGGCTCACCAGCCAACTTGTCAAACAAAGCTTAAGATAAGGGGAGAGCGACTGCAACCTTCCTCATGTCCTATATGGAGGCGCTGATTGGAGATTGGGAGCACCTGGGGAGATCAGAGGGAGAGAGAAAAAGACACCCACACACACCCAAACACCAGCACCCACTACGGCACGTAATAATAATAATGCAACAAGGAGATAACCACAACTTCCGGGACCAGGACAGACCACAGGTGCTGGTAATCACGCCTTCTCTCCCTCCTGATCATCTTGCAACTGAAACTGAAAAATGGAACAGGGAGAGGAGGCTTTTAGTCACCTGATAGTTATGCACTAACATGTTCTTGTGGAAAAAAACGAGCACACCAACTCTTTATGACTTTTACCTTTCCCCTTGTAAGTTGCTGTCCCAACACTTCAGGGAGAACACATAGTCTGAAGAAACTCTCAACTCTGGGAATGCTGTTGTCCCACAGGTCCACATCACGCACAATTCTCTCTACAAAGAGGTCCTTTTTAGTCCAGACAACAAAGTCGCAGTAGTCAACATCAACGAGGTGGAGCTGAGCCTGTATTTGATGGTAGTAGGCATGTCTCCTGTCCAGCTTCACAGTGCCCCCATCGTTGACGAGACAGAAGCCCTGTTCTCCAGCACACAGGCGAAGATTGGCCTCCTCTTGTTTGCTGTGTGGGCACTAAAAGTTCAATGAAAAGAAAAGTAATATATTGTACTGTAAATAAGTGTCTGCAGCTCAAAATGTATTGGGAGAGGATCCCCAAACTCAGGATCACGTCACAATCCTATACTTACCCGCTTTACTGTAGCACAATACTGAACAAATAACTTACCTTTATCTCACAGATACCAGTTCCATGGCAGGTGCACGTGACCCATCCATCTGGCGACGCTCCCATGTATGGCCATTGAGGGTTCAGCCAAAGCCCGCTGTCTTTACAGCTGAAACCCTGGTGGTGCAGACTTTGTACTCCTTCATACTGCTTTCGGACACACACACACACACACACACACACACACACACACACACACACACACACACACACACACACACACACACACACACACACACACACACACACACACACACACACACACACACACACACACACACACACACACACACACACACACACACACACACACACACACACACACACACACACACACAGTTACTTGTACTGTAACTTACTGATATACGTGATATAATCAGCGTATACCACGGGTAGAATTGTAAGTTACTTTTCACAACAAGTCGGTATCCCTCCTCGTCTGAGAAAAACTGTATACAGTTTGCTTTTCTGATTGGCTCCCTAATCCCTAATAAATACCTTGTTGCAGCTGTAGAGAACTTGTATGCCTCTGGGTAGCATATGGACTTGATCAAGGACTTTGATGGCTGTGCAAGACTAGTCTGTAGAACCTGCTTCAGTCTTGAGGCTGTGATCCTTCCTGCTCTTTGGCTAAACCATATTGCTGATAAGCTCTGGTTTCTGGTCTCCTCCTCTACTGCCTGGACCTGTGGCTGTGTCAGCTCTTCCTGTCTGAAGTCCTGGCATGCATTCTGCAACTCTGTTGGGGATAGCTGTAGCATCTCTGGTGTCCTATACTGAGGTAGTGGTTTAGGTAGCTTGCTCACAGATTTAGGGACAAATTCTCTGTAATATGGTTCCCTGGACATCAGTGCAGCACTTCTTGGGGAATTTCTGCACAAAGTCTTGAAAAACTGCATATACCTCTCTGATCCTCGCTCCAATTTTGAACCCTGGACTGTGGGACGCTGAAATGTGTGCTTCTCACCTGTCCTTCCAGCAATGGCATCATCCAGTTTTTGCTTTTTGGATTTTGCGGATGAAAAGTCTATCATCGCAACTGGAGCAGCAGGAATCTGCACATGTGAGAGACAGACCAACATGTATGTGAACATACATGTAGGTGCAGTGTAACAATGAGACAGGCAAGGACGGCATGAACAGCTGACTGACCACTGGGGTCTGAATACCTTTTTGACATGTGATGGCATTAGCCACTTGCACTTCTCAGTGGTGCAGGAT